AAATCAAAACTACACTGATCAAATCTCACCCCAGTCGGAATGACTATCATCAAGAGCACAAACAGCAATGAATGCTGACAAAGGTACAGGGGAAAGGAACACTTCTACACTGCTGGTAGGAATTGTGATTTGTATAGTCATTACGGAAGTCAGTATGGAGACTCCTCCAAAATCTAAAAATAGACAGATCATTTGGTCTGGCTATACTACTCCTCAATACAATCCCAAAAGAAATAGCCTACTACAGTGACACCTGCATATGCGTGTTTATTGCAGTATAATTCACAATAGCTAAGTTATGGAAACAGCCTGGTATCAACGAATAGATGAATGACTAAAGATGTGGTATGTATACACAATGGGATAATATGCAGCCATAAAGAATAATGAAATCATGTTATTTGCAGGAAAATGGGTGGAACTGGAGACTATCATGTTAAGCAAAATAAGGCAGACTCAGAAGTGAAATATTGCATTTTTTTCTCTCATATGAGGAATCTAGGCAAAGGAGAGACAGAGAGAAGAGATGAAAGTAGAAGAAAGACTATTAGAGATGAGGAAGGGCTTCAGAGGAAAGGGAAGGGAAGAAGGAAGGGGTAAGGGGGTTGAAAATAATCCAAGTATGTTTATGCATGTACTAATATGCCAAAATGAAACCTGTTATATGTAATTAAAATTCACTAATAAAATAAAGTCCATCAAAGAATAATCTACACATAGTAAAATTGACTTTTTGTAAGGGTATTGAGTTTTATGATGTCTTTTAAAAATAATTTTATTTTAAATTGAGGTATACTATCATACAGTAAACTGCATATATATAAAATTTAATGAGAGTATATACACTGGTGAAACCATCAACACAATTAAGAAACATATCCATCACCCTCAAAAATATCCTCATACCCCTTGCTGATCTCTCCCTCCTATTCCTTCCTGCAGGCAGGCAACACTGATCCTTCCCGCCAGTATAGATTAGTTTGCATTTTCTAATATTTTATGTAAATGGGATGATGCAGGATGCACTTGTTTTTTGTTTGGCTTCCTTTACTCAGACTAATTATTTCTATATTCATCTATCATGTTACGTATTTTCAATAATTCATTCCTTTTTATTGTTGAATGATATTCCATATTGTGGATATACCACAGTTTATTTATCCATCCATCAGTTGGCAGATATTTGGACTTTCTCTAGTTTGTAGTTATTACAGATAAAGTTACCATGAGCATTCACGTCCAGTTTCTTTCTTAAATGTATGCTTTCCAAGTTCCAGTTGTTCCACATGCTAACAATCAGTCATTTGTCATGGTCATTTCTTTAAGTACTATGATTTCATTTTAGTTTTGCATTTTCTTAATGACCATAACATTGTCTTCAGAAATATTTTCTCTCACATAGTGTCTTATCTTTCCATTCTCTTCACAATGATTTCTTTTCAGTATCATATCTTTGATATTGTAGCTAAAACCCATTGTGTAACCCAAACTTACAAATATTCTCTCCCATTTTTCCTAAAAAATATTATGCATTTAACTACTACCCATTTGGAATTAACTTTTGTATACAGTGGAAGCTATGAAGAAAAGTTCATCTTTTGCACTTGAGAGCTAATTGCTTCAACATATTGAAAATACTATGCTTTCTCCATGGAACCGTCTTTGCATCTTTGTCAAAAATGTTTTCAGAGGTGTAGTTCAGTGGTAGAGCACTTACTAAGTAATGAAAAGGCCCTGGGTTCAAGCCCCAGCACTGAAAAAATTCATTTTCCACTTGTATATGGTTCTATTTCTAACTCTTTGCATTCCACTGATCATTTGTCTAAACTGACAGTAATGGTATTGATTCTGTACTGATTAGAGTAGCTTTAAAATAAGCCTTTAAATCAGGTGGTTAGTCACAAATGTATTCTTTTTTCACCAGTTTTATTGTTAGGCTTTTGCATTTCTGCATTAATTTTAGAACCAGCCCATCAATTTCTACCAAAAAAAAAAAAAGCTGAGATTTTGAAAGAAACTGTGTTGACCTATAATTGGGGAAAAAACAACATCTTAACAGCATGGAGTCTTCCAACCTATAAATGTGGTATCTCTTTTAATTTAGAGACTTTAATTTCTCTCAGCAATATTTTGTAGAAGTCATATGTATGAATATATATAATTTATATTCTCAATGCTGTTGTGAGTGGCATTACTTTTGTAATTCCAATTTCCAACTGATTGTGAATATATCAAATTTACTTTGACACCAAAGAAGTAAAATGACAATCTCTCAAAAATGTTTTATTCGGCTAAAACTAGGGCTAATGCCATCTGTATGGAAAGATGTGAAATTGCAATTGTTTTCAAATTGCTAAAGAAAAATTTTCCCCATTATCTGAGCCTCACTGGCCATTTGGAATTCTGGGACACATCCATGGAACATTCCAGCTTTATATTCCTTAGAATTTAAAACTACACCAGGCTGGTCACTGCGGTGCTCATGTTTTGAGCTACTTGAATGGTTAAGGCAGGAAGGAATGCCTGAGAATTGGAGTTCAAGGACAGCCTGGGCAACACAGCAAGCAGCTGTCTCACAAAACAAAACAGAAACACTATCTGGTAATAGCTTTCTTCTTCTTTTTTTGGTACCGGGGATTGAACTCTGGTCTTTCACTTGTGAGGCAGGCAGCAGAACCACTGGGCTAAATCCCCAGCCCTATAGCTTTTTTCTTAAACTGAGTAACTGGATTCAATATTTCCCACAGCTGAGTTCTACCACAATCTTTCCAAAGTCTTTATTTTTTAAATGCTTGAACTCAATCCCCACTAAAAACTCTTGACAGAAACCCCTAATATTAAGAGACTTGATGTAGAAACAACTTTAAAACATAGTAGTATATTATCTTTAATTTTCCCAACCCCAGGCCACGTCCTAATGGCTTTCTGTATGTAATATACTGGTGAATGCTCTGATCCTGGGAAATACCATTCCAAAATGCACAAGAGTTACTACCATAGAGGACCTGCTCTGAATAGAAACATTTGTGCAGGAGGAAGAACTTCTTGCGTCAGCAATTATTCAGCACAGGCAGATTTCATTTTCATCATTTGGAAGTAAGCTCAATGGTGTGAATTCTGGTTGAACAACCCTTCAAGCCTACTAGATGGTAACTGTTAATGGTCTTCTACAGAAACGTTAGCACAGAAGCTGAAAGTATGCAGCCTAAAAGTAGCTTTCTGACAAAGACACACACACACACACACAGCTCCTGACTCACAGCGTCAGCCATCCTGACCCATTTTTCACATCACAGTTCATACCGACAACATAAATTCAAGACAAAAATCTGTGTCACCTTAGGAGCATTGAATTCTTTGTTGGTTTTTTGTTTGTTTCACTGTGTTATCATTCATTTTAAATGATAACACCTCTATTTAGAGGAGAAACACTGACAGACAGTTGAATATAAGGTTTTAGGGCTCATACTCAAGGGGCCATGCCACTCATGTTTGAATCTCCTCTCTGACAATTACTAGCTTAACTCTTTTTTTTTCCTGTGCCTTAGTTTTCTGTAAGACGGGTATAATAACAGGACTACTTCTAAGTGAAATAAATAAGTCACACATATGCAAGTACCGAATAGTTTCTCCATTGTAAGTTTTTGATGTCTGGCTATCTGATTTTGTAAATACTCTGACTTTGCTCTTCTTCAAGATTGCTTTGCCTCATTTTGGTCCCTTGCATGTCTAGATGAATTTTTAAATAAACTAACCAGTTTCTATAGAATTAATGCAATGATTTAAATTAGTATTGCCTTGAACCTATTTATAATTTTGTGGAGAATTGATATATTTGCAATCTTTCATCTATTTTTCTATTTTATCTTTCTATAATTTTTCTTAGTAATATTTTGTAATTTTTAGGGCAAGGATTTTATGCATTTGAAGGGAGGGTGGGGACAAGGGGAAAAAATGAAAACCAAGACCTGGCATGTGAAGGTACAAGATCCCAGTAATGAATGCAACTGTACTGTCTACCTAGAATGTACCAATAAATTAAATTAAAATTTTTTAAAAATTAAAAAAAAATAACAGGACTGCATCAGACTGCAGTGGTAATGAAATGAATTCACACACAGTGCTTAGAACAGGTGGGCATATTCAACATCTTCAATGTTGGCCAATATTCTTAGCTCTTACTTTAAATTTACTAATAAAATTGTTCACATTGTATAGCTTTAATCTGAATAATGAACATAGCATTAGAATATCTGATAGCACTTCAGGAAATTCTCAAGTGCTTAAGCACATATCAGGGAGAACTAAAAGAGGTTCAAGTCGGAAATCAAGGAACAAGATCTGCACTGTGTGAACGAGGACCTTGCTTCCTTTATTCATGGCACAAAGAGGCTTCCTTAGACATTCCCTGAAGTTGCTTCTACTCTCTAACAATCTATAATGCCTTGAATTCAAAATGTGTTCTATTTGCTAAGTAGTATGATTTACACAAATATGAAGAGAATGTAAATCTCAAAGTTTTCATGAAGCTAAAAAAAAAAATGAAAAATGGTGCAGACAGATCCCAAGATACAGTGCGAGTAGCTCTGATTTCACAAGTTTCCTTGTGTGGTCACTTCAGTGAGGCACTCACTAAGGTTGAGAAAGTTCCAGGACCTCACAATCCAGCCTTTCTTAGGGCTGACCACAGGTGGACTCCAATTCTGATATCCTTAATAATGTGATATCCTACAAATACCTTTTCAGGAAAACAAAACAAAATTGGTAGCATACAATTTGAAATGACTTCATTTATAAGAATACAACACTTCTGAAAAACTTTTTTCATCTGAGATGAATGAAAACAAAAACTCATAAAAAATGACAGAATGTTGATGTTTTATATATTGGTTTATTTTAAAGAATAATATATAATGACAAAGTATTTGATTAAAAAATAGGTTGAAATTCAATTTTTATTCTCTATTTAGGATAAACATACACTATGTTTTAAAGGCAGATTCCAGACATCTTAAGTTATATGATGCCGGATGCTTAAGGACTTTTTAAATATACAATTATGAAAATTTGAGGAAATCATTAATATGGTAAATATAAACAAATATCTACCACATAATGTGAGAGGTTTCATGATCTACTTGTAAATATTTAAATTCTGTATTTCACAATATTCTTTTATAAAAATTTCATTATAAAGTTTCCATTACACATTCTAGTTGAAATTCTCTGACAGGACACCGTCAACTAAGTAGTCCACACAGGATATATTATACTGTAGGTACACACACATACTACTTTGTTCGTTGCATGATGCCCCTTCATAAGAACACACTGGTCTCAGGAACAATCAGAGCATAGCAAAATGCTCCTTTAATTGTTTAATTAACTGTTGTGTATCCACATGATCAGGAAATGCTGCTTCAGATTTCTGTGCAGCAACATAACTTCTCTGCAGATCTCCAATCTGTGAGGAATACCAGAATAAGACCAGAAAAAAAATGAGCACGGAAGTAAAAGAAAAAAAAAATACTATGTGCATGCTGTAAGAATGTAAAAGTTTCCTAAAGGTAACTTCTTTGATTATGCTACTTAAATTTTAGAGTCTCCCACGTAGATTATAGTTCCATCTCGAAAATTACATGAGAAAAATAACCAATTATGCACATCATTTATCCTGCAATATAGCTGTCTATTTATGAATTCAGAAATTTGTGTTTTCTGCTTGTCACTGACAGTATTATAAACATAAAATGATATTTGAATGCCTAAACATCCAGCCTTAGATAGCTTAGGAAAACTATTTGTAACATACTACAAGACATGTATTGATTAGAGTATTATCTTAGACAAGAAATTTAGGCAAAAAGTTTGTATTTAAAATATGACATGCCCTGAGAGGTTTTGAAAAATGCCAACACAGTAATGTTAGAAAGATATCTGTTTTTATGTTTATAAAGAGTGGCTCTTATTTCCAATGAAATATGTGTTAAATTCCAGTCCCAAAGGAAATTATGTGAATCACTGAATGTATTTCGATTCATGTATGTACTTGTAAAAAGTTAGAACTTTTTAGTATGTATACACACACACACACACACACACACACACACACACACACACACACCCTAGGTTAATTCAACTCTGGTGGTTGTTTTGATAACACATATACTTATGTATTAAAACATAGCTGAGTGGAGTGGCATATACCTGTATTTCAGCACACAAGAGTCTGAGGCAGGAGGAAAATGAGCTTAAGGCCAGCCTAGGCTACATAAAGCATTCAAGAACAGTATGGACATGGGGGCCGGGGATTTAGCTCAGTGGTTCCACCACCTGCCTCACAAGCGCAAGAACCCGAGTTCAATCCTTGGTACCAAAAAAATCTTTGAAAAAAAAAAAAAAAAAAAAAAAAAAAAAGAACAGTATGGACTAAAGAGCAAGACCCCATCTCAAAAAAAATAAAGGAAAGAAACTTATAAATGGTTTTCTTTAAAAACCTTAACATCATAACATTATTTTTAAAGGAAATGTAGTCATGTGCCTAAAATAATGCCTCATTTGAGTTACGAATTTATTAAAATGCACTATCTTCCTGAAAGTAGTCATGCCGCCTTCTGTTTTAATGAACTAAGCAGCAGTATACACCGCGAGAAACACACAGGCATCATAGATCTGGGTGTAAACTTGAAAGCTGCTATTGCACTGTGACTCAAGGGGTATCCTTTAATCTCTACGAGCCTTGGGTTCCATTAGAACATAAGCCCTTCAAAGCAGGTAGAGGTTTCTGTCTGTTTTAGTCATTGCTCCATCCTCTATGCCAACAACACAGCCTGAAATATGTAGAGGCTCAAAAAATGAAACATCAGTTATATAAAAAAAAATGACTAGAGAAGGGAAGGGATACTCCATTGGGGGTTGGGGTGAATCAGAAAAAGTATATAAAACACATAGAACAATGGCTGGTACTTTTCAATCATTCAGAAAAATTACAATCTATGAATTACAGCTTTTCTATTTTCAAAACAGAAATGAGGGCATGGATAGCCTCATACTCATGCTATGAAAAATAACATTTTTACATATTTGGTTAATAAAGACCCTAACATCAAAAACATTTTTTGGAAAATGGATACATATTGAAGATATACTCCTAAGTGAAATAAATAAGGCACACGTGTAAATACCGAATAGTTACCCTGGTGTGAATAATCTGCAATAATACATAAAATCCTAATAAGATTACTGACATTTAGAAATGGGAAGAAAGGAGCTAAAGGTGTAGGGAAGGTGGGATGGATAGGGGAAGGGTAATAAGGGAAAAGAAAAAAATGTGAGATAATGAAAAGATGAAAATAAAGTGTTTGTAGATGGGGAGGGGAGGAGGGGGTGAAGGGAGGGCAGAGGTAAGGGGAAAAAATGAGAATCAAGACTTGTCATGTGGAGGTACAAGATCCCAACAATGAATGTAACTGTACTGTATCCCTAAAATGTACCAATAAACTCAAAGCTGAAAAAAAATTTTTTAATCATGTTTGTATCAAGATAGACTCACCTTCCATGTTAAAAGAGTTTTACAAGCAAAAGTGAATTATAAGATGCCTTTTGTTTTCATATTATTAACAAATTGTGCATGATTCCTTTCAGCCTTGGATGTTAACTGACTTCTAACATAGTATTAACAGTCATATTTCCCCCATATTGTTCATATTTAAAATAGCTTTCACTAATATCCCTAATTTTATACCAATTATGCCAAAGACTGTAAGGTAATATGATCAATGGGAAATATGTAGGATTTATTTGCTATAAACGCCAATCACCAATCCTTCCCAAACAAGGAATCACTTAATGAATGTTTTTTCAATGATTAAACATCATATTTTAAAACATAAAATATTTTACCTGCAATGTATAATGGTCAATATATTTAGTTAATATCTGGTGATAGATTAAAGTTTATTAAATTGTCCCTTGAAGCAAATATGTTTGTATATAGAGTGAGAGTTTTTTAAAAATCATTTCTTTTCAGATTGAAAAATCAACCTTCTGTTCAGAAAGATAAAGTTAGACTCTTCTTGTTTATCCGTATTTTTAAACCAAGAAAGAACAAGAGACAGATCAGATGATAAATTAATAAAGAAATAAACTACCTTATCAGATATTGTTGCAAAATTAAAATGTGGTTCGTACATATGGGGTGCCAAAGATGATGCAGTTTGTAATAGTGCTCTTGCCTGTGAAAAAACAAATATAAGATACAACCAAGTCATATAAGCACATATCAGTGTTATATGTGACTTTTTTTTTCCTTTGGTTAAAAAAATTATCTACAAGAAGACCTAAACAAGCATAATTCTGTGATAAATGCAGAGGACATGCCTCATGAAATACAATATTTTTTGAAATACAGTTAACTATTGATATTGTGACAAAAGTATGTTAATAAGCACTTCAAAAGACAGAAGAATTTAGAAAGTTGAAAATTTGGAGTACATTTAAAGTTTTACGGCAAGGATATATAGGGATGGGGGGGAGGTAAGGGAGGAGAAGGAGAAGTAAAAAGAACTAAGATATTTTATGTACATTTACCAATTCTCCACAATGAATGTAATCAATATTAACTGCAAGCATGTACTAAAACAAATAATTTTTAAAAGATTTGAGAACACTGTCATAAAATTTATATTTCAGTGTGATACACAATATATTTTAAAATATAATCAATGCTAAACAAAATCCTCTTAATCTAGTTTTTGTTGTAGGCTCTAATTATATGTTCTCTAAAGCTTCTTTTTTTTACCAGGGATCGAACTCAGGTCCTTGTGCTTGCGAGGCAGGCAGCAGAACCACTGAGCTAAACACTGGCCCTATATGTTCTCTAAAATAATAATTTAAAAAATACTACCAACAAACCATAATAAACTTCAAAGCTGGATGACAGTAAGCAAGTATGTATTATACTGCTGACTGGTTTTCTAAGGGAAATAGTAATGGAAAATGACAAGCTTTATGTTCTTGAAATTACCTGAAACACAAAAGTCAAATTATTTTTTTGGCCCTTGTAGCTTCAAAGGATCATTTATTGCAGAGACCACTGAGTGGCATGATATGCTCATATATATGTTGTTAAAACCACAAACTCAACATAGCAAGCCGCTGAACCATCTTCCAACTTGTAGCTAAACCCAAAATTTATATCCATGACCCTAAGGACAAATTCATGTTATCTTTTGAAAATGAAAATTAAAGAATAAATTATATAAAATGGTGGATATTCATTTTTAGTAATAAAATGAGGCTAGTATATAACCTTTTGCTAAAATATTTATAATTAATTTTATCCTACAGAGACGATAAGTAGTAGAGGGAAAAGAAAATCACTAATATTGGATCAGACCCAACTGCAAAAGGATTTGCTTCATGTCGATCTTGGCAAAGTTCAAAGACAAAATAAATGTCCACTTTAGAGTTACGTTCATAAAATACAAATCCATCTTATTAATGTTGGGAAAATTTCTGAAATAAAGTTATGTTTCTGTCCTTGTTAGCAATGTATTTGGAAGAACAAGTGCCTGTCCCAGCACCCTGTTCACTGTATCTGTAACCCTGGGTACAATTATTGACCCTCTTCAAAGTCTCCCTCTCTGAAGTGGCAGATGTAACAATATTTACCCTTAATTGCCATTATGACTGTACGAGAATTAGCTTTTGGTTACGTATATAGCAATAGTGCAACTTATTAAGTACCTATGATGTGCTCAATATCATGCTTCAACTTTACACAGATGATCTAATCCTCACGAAAACAGTCAGGCAAGACTATTAGAGAAGAGGAAGGGAATGGAAAAAGGAGGGGAAGGCAAACAACAGTAAAAGGAGGTCTGATCAAAGTGTGTTATAGCATGTATGAAAATGCCTACGAGACTCATTATTCTGTGTAATTAATATGTAATATGTCCTAATAAATAAATCTTCAGGTAGGTACTATTATGGCTCTATTTTATCAATTGTCTAATTATTCACAAACATCAACTGGGCACTTTAACATGTGCTGGGCACTGTTTCTGGTGCCAACGATACAACTGTAACACGGCAGGCACAGTTCCTGCTTTCACGCAGCCAAGATTCTACACATAGATATAATGATATCTGGTAAAATGAGACATACTTGGAAGAAAAACAAAAACAAAAAACAGGAGGTGTGCTAACCCTGGGGGCTCCTTTAGATTAATATTGACATGGTAGCAGTTAAGACCTCAGTGACAGAAAGAAACCTGTCATTGCAAGGTCTGAGGGAGGGACATTCCCAAGGCCCTGAAGGCAGAAGACTAAATGCACCTATCTGGAGGCTGTAGAATGGAGGCCAGAAGTCGCTAAGGAAGCAGGAAGCAGTGAAGGACCCTGTCTGAGAGGGAGGCAGACACCTGATCAGGGCTGGAAGCCCAGGTTTATTCCAAATACCAGGCAACAGCACTGAAGGATTTTAAGCAACGTGGTAATGAAATAATTTTGTTTTGTAAAAAGTCTCCCAGGCCGTTCTGAGGAGCATGTGGGTCGCGGGGAGGGAGCCGGTGAGGAGGCTCTCAGAATAGTCTCGGCACGAGATGGCAGCAGGGTGGAAAAAGTGGCCAGGCTCAGGATGACTTTGAGGAGGGCTGATGGGACTTGCTGAATATGCTGCAGGCACGGTGGTGATGGGAGGAGGAAGGAGAAAAAAAAGAGGTTTCAAAAGTGGCTCCTAGGGTTTTGGCAGGCGTGGCGAGATGGTGGGTGGCAGATGGTAAACAGTGGAAGAGTTCACAAAGGTAGGGAAGATTAGGGAGGTGCATAATGACCTACAAAACTAAATGTTCTGTTTTGGAGTCAGAAAGTAACTTGCCCAATTCATGAAGGAGCTGGGATTCAAATCCAAGCCTGTCAGACTCCAAAGCTCATTTTAAAATTATATAATGACAGCCACATGTAACTGCTTTTCTTTGAAGAGAGCAGGCTCTCCCCGGTGTCGCTGTTCCCTGACCTGTTCGACATGGCCCTTCCGCATCTCCAGCACTGCTAGGTTGTTGTAAGCCTCGGCATGATGGTTGTTGTTCACCAGAGCCAGCCGGAAGCACTGATGGGCCAAATTCACATCTCCTACGCCCTGAAAAGCAAAGTGCACATTCGCACACATAGATCCATAAACTTCCTCCTACCACCCCTCTTCCTGTCTCAGATAAATCTTTCACACTGCCTGTAGAAAGCAAGTCCCAATCATGGGAGTCAAGTACGAATTCTGTGTAAGTACATTTAACTTGAGCGGTGGTGACTGCTAGAGATCTCTAAATGCCCATGTAATACCACAGCCAGGATTTATAGTACCTGAAAATGTCTTCAAACTCTTATTTTTCTAGAACAGAAATACAACCTACCACAGCTATGTGTCCCAAATTATACCAGACATCAGCTGCCTCTTCTTCATTTTCCGCAAGAGAAAGGGCACGTTCAAATGAGGTCAGAGTCATATCGTACTGCTGGGCATAGAAGCAACACAGCCCCAGATTGTTTAAAAGCTGGCAGTTATAGACGCCCATCTGCAAGAGTCGCCTTTTCAAAAAAAAAAAAGCACAATGTTAACCGACTCTATAAATGTTACAGCATGCATTTTTTACAGTTAGGAATGAATTCACTTTATCATTGTCAACACCCACAAAGAATATAAATAAAAAGGGTTATTGTAAATGAAGAAGCGTTTAAAGCAAATACAAAAGCATGTCTTTTATAATGGTGTCAGTCACGGGAAATATGTCCCAAGTCAAGGTCAGAAGCAATGTCTCTGTTTTTTTCCCTCTAAAAGCTGTTAGAGAACAAAATAAATAAATAGTGACACAAAAGAAAACTGTCACATTTTAGCTTTATAAAGCCTTGGTGCCCAGAGGTAAATAAATCCGAGACTGTCCAGTCTAACTTGAGGACTGTGTTTCACATTTCCCTCTGTTTTCACCCGAACGGGACACTGGTTTTGTTTATCTGTACTTCGTGGTTATCTGCCTGGACTTCTAATGAGCTTCACTGAGAAGATGTTATGAATGGGTCCCTATATTATCTATGTGGCTTCCATGCTGCAGTCACCCCTCAAGAGCCCTGTTTTGCTTCTGGTCATCCTTAATCCGGAGGGGCAAAGGACAAGTGAGTTTAAGCAGATGAAAATTCAACTCGGCTGCCTGGTGAAGCCCCTGACTCACTTTGGAGGTGGGAATAGTCAGCTGCCTGTACACGGGATGCATACTGTATGTTTTATGCTTCGAAAATAGGTTGAAAAGAAGCTTTTGTCAGCTGTATGTTATTCTACATAACTGTAAGTTACTTCATTCCTTGTATGAAGAGAAAATTATGTTTTTTAGAAGGCGTACATAAGATCAAAATTAGTATGCATTCCAAAGAGGACCAGTAAATGTGATTTATTTAGATTTTGAAAAAATATTTGGAAAATGAGTTGACGGTACTTCGCGCACAGGTGATTCTGTTTCAGGTCCTCAGCAAGGTTTGGAACATGGAGCCAAGTGGTCTCTGCATAGTTCCTCACTCTCTCAGTCTCAGTCTCTTAGGTTCAGTGATGTTAATACAGGTGGGGATGATAAGGGTTTTATGTAGCTAGGAAGCTGCTACTGGTAAAGTGGCTAACTCTTACAGTAAGTTAAAAAGAAACTCGTTCCGTTTTCCCAGGTGTGTTTCTGCAAGACGCCAACATCTGCACATTTCCAAATCACTGGATGTCACTCTAATGCTCAGAAAATATCTGAGTGTTGGAATTTTTAGGTTCATAGACACATGGCCTGTACGTTATTTCTCTACATTTTCATCCCACCTTTGTTACTGTCTCACTAGGATCTCACAGGAAGGTCATTCAACAAATTGAATGTAAAGCACACCTGTAAAACCGGAGCGCTATCTCTGGTTGATCAGAATAAAAGTGGTTGCTTCCAATACATGCAATGGCTTCCATGTGAGTACTGTCTTGTTTCAAAACTTCTTTGTAGTATTCAGCTGCTGATGAGTTATTGTTCATTTCCTATTCTCCACCAAGACAGAAGAGTTAAAGTTGGACAAGAAATTATTTTTTCAACCAATTTAAGCTCATTCATTCGAACAAGTACTGACTGCCATGTGCCAGACCCTATCCTAGGCTCTAAGGACACAATATGAACAAAAAGATAAAAGTCCTGGTCCTCGTGGAGTCTACATACAGATGAACAAATACGGCCTAAGATGTTAGGCAAGGAAGACTGATGTGAAGAAACACAGAGTAGGGTAAGGAGAGAGAGAGCTTCTGCAGAAGGGGTGGTCACCTTGGAGGAGGGGACACTTGGACAGAGATCTAAATGAAGTGAGGGATCTCTTGATCCAAGCTTATCTAGAGGAGGCTCACTCCTGCCAGAGAGATGAGCAAATGGCCGAGCCTAAGATGGAAACTTTTAGAAGAGCCGCCCTGGGAAGTGGGAGTGTGGCAGAGGAGGAGACCAAAGAGACAGCCAGCCACAGGAAGAATTTTATCAGCCATGAGAAGAGCTGCAAACTCATTTCTAAGGCCAGAGAAAATAATTAGAGGATTAAAAACAGAAGAGTAACGTGATCGCACTGTGTTTGTATTTTCAAAGAATAAAACTTGGCTGCTAAGTGCAAGGAATGCCACAAGGAGGAAATGCTAGCAAGGAAACCAGGAAGGAAATGAAGGCAACTTGACAAATTCAGAAATAGTTACATATGTAATTAAAAACCGAAGAAACCAGCTGGGCATGGTGGCGGATGCCTGTAATCCCAGCACTCTGGGAGGCTGAAGCAGGAGGATCACAAGGTTGAGACCAGCTTGGTCAACTTAAGAGACTTGGCGAAACTCTCTCTCAAAATAAAACAGGGCTAGAGATGTAACTCGGTGCGCATGACTTACATTCAATCCCTAGTATCACAAAAACAAACAAAACTCTTCTACAATTATTATAAGTGTGTCTATTATTTTTGTTATTATTATTATTAAGATGGGGCTCACTATATTGCTGTGGCTAGTCTGGAACTTCTAGCTGAAGTCATCCTCCTGCCTCAGCCTCCTGAGTAGCTGAGACTAGAGGCACACATTACCACACCCTGCTCATCTAATATAATTAATAAATGTTGTATCTCTCAAATCCACCTTCAAGACTCAGTTTTGGCTCCACATCCTTCATGACAAGTTCCCTATGTTCTCACCTCACATGGTACTTCTGACTCTCAGCTTATGAAATGTACTGTGACCCACACACAGATGTTCCTATCATGTGAGGACTCGGTTTTTGTTAAGATTTTAATCATATTTCATTCTATCTACAAAACTCCCCCAGTTGTAAGAATCACCCTGTAATCCTTTTTTAAACAAAGAGTTTTTATTTGATACTTACTGATAGGCTTATTTAGACCTAAATGTACCACAGATCACTCTGGCATACTGTCTATAAAATACACATAAAAATAAAGAATAAAGCATTCTTTCATGTGACACCCCAAATTTTTCTGATTCCCTTTTTGACTTAGTCATCCGTGTCCATTGGTGATACAGCTTTTCTTTTATTTTTGACAATGAATAATTTTATATAGTTATGGGGTACAATAGGACACTTTGATACATTGTGGAAGGGGTAAAACAAGGTAACAAACATATTCGTTACCACACGTGGTTCTCATTTCTTTGTGTTGAGAGCATTTAAAATCCACTGATACCAGTTCCTCAAAGTATGCTCTGCCGTCTTCTCCAAGATTTCTTCCAAGCCACTGAGTCATTTCACTACGCCTATTCCTGTGTTTTCTTGATCACACCAGCAGGTGTCAACAAAAGCTTCCAGGCAACCATCAGAAAGCATTACCAAGGTCACCCTGTTAGGAATAACTACCAAGTTTCTATATAAGCAGCTGATGACATCTCCACAGCAGCTGTCACTTGGCCACAAGGAACAAAAGATGCTAAGATGCTACCTACTTTCCAATGCAACCAATTTAATATGTGAAAAAACATATTTTTAGAATCCATGAAACTCGGCAAGTTTTTTAAGAGCAAGAACTTGCTATACTCCTTAGCACCAAATTTTGTGCTTCTACATACTGAAAAATTAGTGACCAAGAGTCAAACAACTTCTGAGTTTTCTTCTCTTTCATGATTCCACGAGAACAGAGGCTTTCCTCAAACTTTTGGGTCTTGAGTGTCCCTTCAAATTCTTAAAAATCAGTGAAAATCTTCAAGAAGATTTGTATATATAAGTAATATCCATAGATGTTTAAAATTCAATGGGGAAATTTTTAAATATTTATTCTCAATGTTATATTATAAATAATAAAAATAAAACTATTACATGTTAACATATTTTTATGGAAAAAATTCAGGCTTTCCTGAGTAGAGAAACCTGTAGGCGGTATACCACATCTGCTATGGAATAGATTAGTCTAACTCAGCGATAAAAGACGATCAAGGCCCTGGGGCTGTAGATCTAATACTGCATGCTCTAATTGTTTTTATCAATAAGAAAGTTAATGAATTAAGTTAAAGCTGAGAGTGAAAAAATAAGCTGTACATTGGACTGTACATAATGATTCTATTTATGGTTACAGTAACCATGCCCATGTGTGTGCTTTTAATGTGAACAAAACTGTATTTTTTTTCCAGTCTCCATGAAGTTAGTGGTTTATCTTCTATTTGTCTAAATAGAAGGTGTCTTTGTCTGTGGGCGTCTCTCGATTGGTTCTCAATTTCAGGAATGGGTGTTATTTATCAGGCCCCTATGAAACATTCCCTGGCTGATCCACACACATGGTTTCTTTCATGTGCTTTATACTCGAACTTCTTACCCAAAGGCAGCAGCAATCCCACTGCTCAATGTGGCCACGCTAGAGCTGCCAAAGGTGGCAGACACCCATTGCAGAGAGGACTCCAGCCTCAACAAGTGTTCTGTTCAAGGCCTTGGGGGCTACAAATTATTTTACAGTACTCAGACACTTGATTGACAGCCACAGAAATGAAATTCTGTAATCACAAGGAAATTTAGACTGAAATGCTTATTTTACCAGCAAATTCGTATGTATTTCAGTTGACTTTTACACTTCTATTACAATTTTGTATTTGCACACAAATTTGTACTATAGTGGACCATGCATATCAGATGACTTTTTAAGCTTATACAATATAATTACAATACAATTTAGCCTATGCTAAATTAATTCAAACATGACAAAAGGATACAAAATTCAAAGTAAAAGCCCCAAATCCCAATTGGCAGAGGCTTTGTTAGTAGTTTCTTGAGTACTTTTCTTCAAGAAATGTTCCTATAAAGTATACAGACAGGTATGCATGTTTTAACTCTAAATAGACTCACTCTGTACGTTGTAATGCATAGTTTATTTGTTTTCACTCTTTCCATATCAAAACGAAGAATCTACTTCATTGTTTTTTACTTCTGTATAAAGTTCCAGGGATACACAGACCGTAATTTATTTGACAGTCCCTTTTTGGTGAGCCTTGGTTTGTTTCCATATTTTTACCATAAGTATACTATATAAAATCATCTATGGGCATAACTTTGTGCACTTCTATGAAAAAATCCTGAAGAAATTTTTCTAAAAGATTGCACGCATTTTTTAAAGTCTCATGAGTAGCTGCAAACAGTCACAATAGTGTTCAGTTGTAGCGTCTGTCCCTCCACATTCTTGACAACTCTACACAGCACAGGACTTCTTCCTCTCTTCGAATCTCATTAAGTGAAAAGTAGCACATCACTGCTGTTTTAGTTTTTATTTCTTTAATTGTGACAGAGGTTAGTAATTTAACACATCAGATAATTATGTTTCTTTTCCTGTAAACTGTGAATTCATGTCCTTTGCCTATTTTTGTATGCTGTATTTTATCCTTCTATTATTGGCACTTTAATTTTTTGTTTTGTCTTTTGTTTTGTTGGGGTTTTTTTTTTGTTGTTTTGTTTTGTTTTTTGAGACGGGGTCTTGCTATATAGTTCAAACTGGCCTTGAACTTGTGGCAATCCTCCTGCCTCAGACTCCCAAGTACTGGGATTACAGGTGTGAGTGCCACCACACCCAGTTTATTGTTGGCATTTAAAGTTGCTGTGGCTGGGCGCGGTGGAGCATGCCTGTAATCCCAGCACTCTGGAGGATGAGGCAGGACAATCCCTGTGAGTTCGAGACCAGCCTGGGCTACACAGTGAGTTCCAGGTCAGTCTCAACTACATAGTGAGACCCTGTCTCAAAAACACAAACACACAAAAACAAAACAACGACAACAAAAAAAACCAAAGCTGCTGTAACAAAAAAAACACAGAGTAGGTAATTTATAATGAAGAGAAATTTATTTGGCTCATAGTTCTGATATAAATAGTGCAATTAGGGAGACAGGCCCACTCCCTTCTACTTGCTGTGGGACCACTCTCCTTCACTCACCTGAACCTGGGCAACATGTCAGGATCAACCCCACCACCACCATTTTTGCCCTAAGGCCTTCTAGTTAAAGGTGGAGATTAAAAAACAAACAAAAACACAAAGATCCATGAGCCTGCCCTGGAAATTTTCAAAATCCCAAACCAGGATGCATGTGCACCACACCCTACCGCATAGCCTGCAGCAACCTTTCTTCACCTTGAACTTGCTGAAGGCTCATGCATATATATAGACAGCCGCCCAAGTGTGAATGATGGGAAAGGACATGGGCAGCAGACCCAGCTGACATGACTCCGCGCCCTGGCAATCGCGCTGGCAATCGTGCTCTAGAAGACCCACAGGAGGTGCCCAAGACCCAGGGCAACCTTTTCAATCCCTAAACCCAATGCCCTCTGTGCTCATGTCATTTCCTTTCACTGGCACAAGCCTGTTCTCTCCAGGAGTATTGCTGCCTAATTAAATTTTGCTGCTGTTTCTTTACCACCACATACCAAGTTCAATTCTTTCTACATCACACACAAGAACCTAGAAACTCATACCGGATACCATACCTGTGGTAAGAGTTCTAGAGGTTGAGAAGTCCAAGATCAAGGGGCTACATCTGGTGGAGGCCTCTTACTGCATGGTACATCGCAGAAGGCAGCACATGGGAGGGAAAGAAGGGCCACGTTCATCTGCTTATCAAGAATCCACTCTCATGATAAATAACCCACTTTTGCCATAATAGCATGAATCCATTCTTGAAGGCAAAGCCCTCAGGGTCTCACCAGCTTTCAAACACTGTTGTACTAAGGATTAAATTCCCAACAAATGAACTTTAGGGAGATATTCAAACCATTAGGTGTTGGATAGGAAACTGCCTTCCTGGACGCAAGAGAGCTGGAAGCAGACATGAGACTTGTGGAATTCTGGGCATTGTCTCTTCTTTCTTTCTTTCTTTTTTTTTTTTTTTCAGCTTTAAATGAGTTTATTGGTACATTTTAGGGATACAGTACAGTTACATTCATTGTTGGGATCTTGTACCTCCACATGACAGGTCTTGGTTCTCATTTTTTCCCCTTGTCCCTGCCCTCCCTGTCTCTTCGCTTCTTTCTTATTCTATGCAATCAGCCTATGATGATGTAAATTCAACTCAAAAAAACAAAAAAACAAAACGAGAAAAGTCCCAGCACTCTGGTGGGTGGCTGCGGCAGGAGGATCACTGTGAGTTCAAGTTCGAGTTCAAGCTCAAGCTGGAGGTCAGCCTTGAACTACATGGTGAGACCTTGTCTCAAAAACAAAACAAAACAAAACAAAAAACAAAAAACAGGAAAGTTCTGTGTTTATACACATTCTCTTGAGAGGAAAAGTACAGAAGTTCTTCCAGATGGGTGTCATCAAGTCCTGACTATGAAAGGCTGGCAGCAGTCAACAAGTAACTTGGGGGAAGAATTGTAGCTCAGTGGTAGAGCACTGGCCTAGCACGTGTACAAATAAGGAAGAGAAAGAGGGAGGGAACTGTGTTTGTGTGGGTGCGTATGATTCTTAGCAAATTTTAGGTACTGTGTAGAAGGAGGAATTAAAAGCTGTCGTGCCTGTCCCAGGTATAACAGGTTTTTTCCCTGTTTGACATTTTTGCCTGTTGTTTTGGTTTAGCTTTATTTAAATTTTTGTTGCTATTTAGAAAAGTTAACTTCATGTTCTCAAATTTATTGACTTTTCCTAACTGTCATGTTTAGAAAGATCTTTATTCCAATTTACACAAATAATGCACCTGCATTTTCTTCTGGAATTTTCATGGTTTTCTTTTTTGAAGTTTTAACTCCTTGAAGTTTTAAATCTGACAGGAATTAATTACTTTAATATAAGAAGTTATTACTCTCCCACCTCCATTTTTAAACTAATTATTTAATAACCCAATAATCCAAGAAATCTTTATCACATCCTAAATTTTCATATGTATGAACATATGTGGCCTCTATTTTCATCCTTTAACTTATTCCTGTATCTGAATCATTTAAATTACACTAGTTCTAGAATAGATTTTATTAATGTAGAGTTAAAATAATGTTTTCAAGTATATAAATATCATTAAAACACATAAGAAAGTTGGTATCATTTAAGTGATTTTTCCTGCAGTTATTTTTAAACCATTTTATAAAATACTCTATTTAGATTTTAATTATATAAAATAAAACTGCAAATAGTGTAAAGAAGTAAGTGGTGAAGTGGTTCTTAAAACATTATGCCTCAGAATCACCTCGCTTGTCAAAAATACAAATTCCTGAGTCCCAATTTCCATGGCTTCTAAAGAGGAGAACAAGTTCTTCTTACACACTTCCCTGACATTTTTCAGACACAGTAAAGTTTAAGGACAACTAGAATAACATTTCCAGGTTAGATTTCTAATTTCATATACCTTTCAACAATGAACAGCTAAAATAGGGCCTGACTTTAAAACAAAAATGCCTCAAGAACAATTAGAGCCACCAAAATACAAACAAACAAAAACATTTTTTAAGAGTGTCTGTACAGAATGAGCAACGAACCAAACCAGAGGCACGTTGGCTTAAAAACAGGAAACAATTAAAAGATACAACACCAAAATGAAAGTGATAAATAAAAAGAGAACACAATGGGAGAGAATCCTTCAGAGAAAATCATGTGTGTAACAAAAATCCCTCAAGGCATGCACAATGTAGGGTACAGTATTAAGGAACAAACTTTACGAATTAATTCTAAATCCACTATCACATGATGAGAAAAAAGAAACCACTGGAAATCTGACTTTGGTGTGGTAAACTTTGGCAGGAAGAAAATTAACTATGTCAATCCAAGGGAGAAGTACTCCACCTATTTCAAGTCTTCGCTTGGTCCTTCGCTACTCTACCTCTGCGTAAAACATTGTCCCTACATGCTGGATGCTTCCCTTTTCAATTCTTTCTTTCAAGTGCAAACTAATTCAGAACAGCCAAAAGAAGAAGGTTGCTAACAAAGGAATCCACTCAGGGGCCACTCCCTATCTCAGTCACAGCAACAGCGACTATTACAGACTTGGAAGGAATTCTGAACAGCACCACACTTTACAGACACAGTAGTGGTTCCCTAGCCCTTTCTGCAAGTACTTCCTGCCTCAGAGGCAAAGGGCAAGGGACTGAGACGTGCAGAAGGCGGAGCCTAACAGTCCAAGAACTCCAACTGCATCAGGAGAATTAGCATGCCTTCCACTGGCTTCAAAACAGATTCCATTTTATTTCCTTTCTAAGCTTTTTGGTCCAAGTTTTGTTCATATTCAGTTCAGGATGACAACAAGAAAAGATAGAATGTTTGTATTGACTCATCAAAGTCTTCTATGAATCTAGTTATTAAAATTATATTTTAAAAGGAAACATTTTTCTACACAATTTAAAATAATATTTTTCCACATAAAATCCATGTTCCTTATTAAAAATTTGGAAAATAGAGAAAATACAAAGAAGAAAATAAAAGTCATTCACACACTATGGCCTAGGCATAGCAACCACTACTATCTTCCACTCTGGTGCAAATTTTATTGTACCTCACATTTTCAAGCAATTTAAAGAAAACAGATTTTTCTCAGGTTTGTACTGGAAGTCCTAAGCAAAACAATATATTTTTAGATGTAATAAAATAATTGAAACAAATGAAACCATCTGTATTTGCATACAATGATTTGTTTTATTTACGTAGAATTTCAAGAGTCTATGGATAACATCTTAAAATTTAGAGTAGTGTCATACTAACTTTTAAAAAGTAATACATTCAGAGGCCGGGGATTTAGCTCAGTGGCACCACGCCTGCCCTTCAAGCACAAGGTCCTGAGTTCAATCCCTGGTACCACACACAAAAAAATTCATATTCACTTGAAATAAACAAGTGGAAAATACAATACAAGAGAGAAAAAGTAAGGATTCCATTTAGTTATACCTAGGAATGCACCTGTTCAGAGAAGTCCAGAATCTGCTGTTCTTAGAGAGGCTTGGGCCTAGAAACACAATTGGTTCCCTATATTGATGTATGCTTTCTCCCAGTGACAAAAATGGCTTGCTACACCTAACTGTACAAACAGTAATGGCTTGTGCTGAACACCTGCTTATTTGTTTTAGTCTGGAACATTGGTATATAATAGGCAGAGTATCTGTATGACTAGCCCCTAACAGTAACCTTGGACATAGTCTCTAATGAGCTACCCCACTAGACAATACTTCTTGTGAGACGTTATAACTTGTTGGTGGATGAAATTAGCATATCCTATTTGACTCCAAAGGAAGAAGACTCTTGGAAGCTTGTACATGGTTTCCTCTAAACTTTGCCCTGTACTGATTTTGCTCTTCATCTTTTTACTCTACTAAATCTAAGCTGTGAGTACATCTATATGCTAAGCATTGAGAATCCTAGTAAATCACTGAATCTTAGGGTGATTTGGGGGACCGGTAACACAACATATTTCTGGAAATAATTATAAAATATTCATTGAAGGACAAAAAAGACTTTACTAAATTAAGAGTTATATCATGCCTGAGAATGGGAAGAAAGGCAAACCACCATGCATATATTTAATACAATTCTGAACATACACCTGCAGGGATTTTTAATGGTTCATGATGAGTCAAACCTAAAATCAATATAGAAGAGTGGAGAGCCAAAATTAACCAATTGTGAAGACGAAAACCACGGCAGTACAATTTGCCGAATCTGATTCCAGAAATTACCATACAGTTATAGTAATCATGTAACAAGGAAGATAACTCAATGGAACTTTTCAGAGACTTTGACAACGTGACTGCAAAATTTGTAAGAATAAGTAAAAACCAAAAATAGTCAAGACTCCCTTGATGAAGATGAACCCTACCAGATGCTAAGAGGTATAAAGTTACAGGAATTAAACTGGTATCATATTGGTATAAGAAGAGACAGACCAATGGAACAGAATAGAAAGCCTCAAAACATAAACATCATATAAATGTGAAATAATGGTATTTTATATTATGGACCTTAGGAAAGGATCTATAAATAGGCTGGAAAAACAGGCTATTCATATAGGGAAAATAACATTAATCTCTAACTTATACCACTTTATATACTCTTCTATATGTCTAAAACACTGCATAATAAAGACTTAGCTTGACTAGATGCATATATAAAATCTCTTATTCTACTAATTAATCACAGGCTAACAACCATAATTCTATAAATTATTCTCCTTGCTAGACCCCCGAGGGACTTTGAACTTATATAGGTAGCACATAATGTCAACTTAACATCAACTTTTAAAGTAATCTGAACCTTACCTCATAGATCCTGGCAATCCCACAAAGCAGAGTTACTTCTCCTGGAAACGTATCTAAGCCTTGTTTGAAAAGGTTTAAAGCAGTTACAGGTTGATCCAATGACATGTAAACCTAAAAGCAAGACACATTTGAATAAAAGTATCCATTCTTAAAATAATATTTATATATGTAAAGATTATAACTATGGATTGGCAACAAAATATCTCCTAGAAATCATAGTAAAAGTTTTTCAGGAATATGCAGAATTAATTTCTAGTGACGATACAGCGTTACTGCCACGTGTTATACAGAAAGAGTTCATTCAGTTATTCCTCCAACAATCCCTGTGGACTCACTACTGTCAAAGAGTCTGAGCAGCAACGAGACAAGAAAAGGGTCAGGAGAAAAATCCTTTCAGGCTAGAACAGCATCCGTACACCTGGAGGCTGGCATTAAAGAACCAAATAGGAAACTGAAGTTGAAGGTGCTGGAGAAAGGGACGAAACAAAGGTTCTTTTAGAACAAGGTCTAAGAGGGCAGCAGCGCAGACAGTGGTTTGGGGAAACAAGTTTGTAAGCTCTGGGGTCAGGGAGCTGAGTCACTGAGCACTTGATGGCTTCCACCTCTTCAGCAGTTAGGACCTCAGCACAGATAACCCACATACGTAACAGGAATTTCTGAAATAGAGAAGTAGGACTTTATGCGCAGAAATAATCTAATGACGCTTGTTTTCATGGTTTTGGACCCACTTTCTAAACAGGCTGTGCTTTGGTGAGAAGTCCAAATGGATACAGAGAAAACCTCATCTAGCATTTATCTCTAAAGTATGAGATTCAAGGGACAGATATTGATGAAAACGTCTTCAATTTTTGCCTTATACACTTCCATAAACCTCATCTAGCATTTATCTCTAAAGTATGAGATTCAAGGGACAGATATTGATGAAAACGTCAATTTTTGCCTTATACACTTCCGAGCTTCTTTTTTAAATACACATTATAAATACAAAATATTTAATAACTTTAATTGACAAAGATTTGAAATAATGTTCCTAAAATCTAATTGATTTCTATTACGTAGGAATTATTTTTACATATATTAAAGGAAACGAGTAAAATTTACCTCCATATTGACATGTAGGCTTATAGAAAAATAGGTGAAACCATGTATTTAACAATAGCCGAAACATAAAGTACAACTTTTTTCAGTCACATGGCCAGTGTTTGGTTTTGTTTTCTTTTGTTCCAGTACCAGGGATTGAACTCAGGATCTTGAGCTTGCCAGGCAGGAGCAACACCACTGAGCTAAATCCCCAGCCAGTGATTAGTAGTTAAGAAGATGATAATTAAATGCTGTAACCTGTACCTTCATTTCAGGCTTCCTTTTTCAGAAAGTTTAACAACAGTGATGCTTAGAAAATTATTTCAGAATTTAAGCATAATATATAATGTATAGAAGAAAAACTTAGATACCAAATAGTTTTAAGTATTTATGAAAGCCATTGTAAATATACTAGGATTAGTACAGCAAACTCATATAGTATTACTTTCATTTTCTCTGTAGTATGCTAATTTTTATTACCATAATTAGGAACCAGTAGGGTTTCCTTTTCAGTTTTGTTTTGGTTAGGTTTGGCTTGGTTCTTTGAGGCAGGGTCCCACTATGTACTTCGGACTGGCCTTGAGCTCACTCTGTATCCCAGGCTGGCCTTGAACTCCTGGTGGGCCTCCTGCCTTAACCTCCTGAGTGCTGGGATTACAGATGTGCACCACCACACCTGGCTGGGATTTTTTTTATTTAATGAAGTTTTTCTTTCCTGAAATGTAGAGTTGGTAGGTCCTGTTCATGCATCACTGCCAGTAGTGAGGACGCTCCTATTTCTGGTGTACATTACCTAAGCTCCATGATTTGAAACTAATTTGATAGGGCCACTACTAAGGAGCCAGAAGGCTGACCCTTACCCACGGACCCCAAATCCTCAGTCCCTCAGCAACCACAGATGGAAGTATAAACTTATAGTTGGGAACTTCTTTACAGAGTTTGTCCAGAGTCACTTTGTCAAGCAAGACTGGGTCATTGAGTTTTTACCAAAATTTGCCTGAAGACTACTTGTTAGCTTTGCCCCCAGATTTGTTCACTGGGTCTTTGTCTTTCTTGGCTGACTTTCCAGCATCTTTCGTCAGGTTCCTGGGTGGTATCACAAATTTAAGAGCAATGGCAACCACTGCAGCCTAAGATGTCAGACAAAAAGCTAGCACTTTCTGTTACAGCTCATCTTCTTTGAATCATCTTTTCCACACTTCTTAATTTAGAAAATACTTAAAGACACAGCAAGATGATTCCATAACTATCACTTTACTAAATGTTTTTCTTTCAAAGTACCCTTGGAGAAGGTCAAGAAGTAACCTTATCTTTGTATAGCTGAGTATCCCTTATCCGAAAAGCTTGGGACCAGAAATGCTTTGGATATCAGATTTCTTTTGCATTCTGGGATATTTGCATATATATAGTGCAATGCCTTGGGGATGGAACCCATTGAAACACAAAATTCATTTTATATGTCATCTGTACCTTGTACACATAATCCAAAAGTAATTTTATACTATGTTTTTAGTGCACCTTCATTTTGACTGCAACTCATTATATATACAGTCACGAATGGAATTTTCCACTTGTGCCATCAGGCTGAGTACTCAAAGAGTTTGCAGTTTTGGAGCATTTTGGATTTCAGATTTAAAATGTTCAGTCTGTACTGAGAATTCTAGGTAGCCTTTCATTTCTGCTGTGACTGGAGGTGGTGCAGGGCAGCAGTGAACAGGTTCTGAGCTAGGTTTGAATCGTGGCTATAGCCCAGGGAGACCCTGAAACCCTTGCCCTCTTGAAGCCTCCTTCCTTAAGGGTACAAAGGAAATTATAAATACTCTGCAAGGTATGGTGAGGATCAAAATAAATTGCATATCCAATGAATCCAATGGAACACCTTACAGTGAGTAGGTGCTCAATAAAAAAAGAAAAAAAGCTCTTTATTACTCTAGCAGAGTTGAGTAAATGAGAACCTATGTAAGAATAGTCCCTATTCTCTACAACCTCTTCAGGTGTAAGATAAATGTGTTATAGACAAAAGGCTACTCTGGGACCTATTACCTATGTGGTAGTGAGCCTACAGTATTTTTTTTTTCCTGTCATAATGAGCAACCTTTCAGAAGGGTTTCTTATTTTTCATAGCAATCAGTTTATCCTGAAGTTGTTACTTTCCATATATTCTTTCTCCCTTGCTAGAAAGAAAAATATGTTAAATATAAATACATTAACATGCCAAATATTCCTGAAGAAAGTGGCAACTCGCCTCAGATTTTCTTCAGACTAATAGTATTTACTTACTTTTGCCAAATAGAGAAATGTATCTACCATTTCCTGCTGCTTCAGGGCTGATTTAAACTGTTTTTCTGCTTCACGATACATTCCTAACCTAAAAACAGCCATTAAAATAATTAGGCATTCAACTTAAAAATAAATATTACAGCATTTTTTCAAACTTACAGGATATGGATACAGACAAGTTACAACTATAAAAGTAAGCATGTGACAAAGATGGTAATTTGTACACACACATACACTGACACGTGTGTTAATACCGTACAGTTCAGCAAAGTCGCCTGTCTCCCATTTTCGCTGGCTATCTAATCCTCAAATGGTGTGCAAAGAGCCTGTCTGCAGTGCAGTCACAGCAGGACTAATAGCTTCTGGTAAGCAGGTCACCTCAGTTCACTACCCATAGAGCTTATGATCAGCTGGACATATGGCAAGTGAGCTGTATACGTGCTTAGAGTCTCCATTTTACTAGAAGAACTGAAAAAACGGTTCTTTGAAAACTTCCTCTGCTCTGAGACAAAAGCCCATATTTTTAGTTACCCTTAAAATATGCTGAGGTAAATAATTATTTCCACTTGAGTCATACAGCCATACAATTTTATCATTCTTGAAATATTTTTTTCTTTCCCTTTATTAGCTATCTGATACTGGTTGTCTCCGTCTATGAGATTTGTTCTTTGCCTGTATATGATTGTTCTGATGTCAGCACCTACATCTTGTGCCCAGGAAACATTTTCTTACCATTAACTCCATCAGTAAAGCATATATAGATTTAATTCAGTCTGTCCTTAATAGACCTGTTAGGTTTTCTCACAACTACTCATCCTTAACCATCTAAGAGCTTCTTAGATACAGTAATGTCTTAGTTTATAAAATAAAATCAAACGATATAGAGTATATTTCATTGTACTGCTTTCACTTAAGATAGCCTTGATGAATTTTCATAACCTAGACCTCAAGCATTGTGGTGGTTGATACTCAAAATAGCTATTGAAAAATGGGCTTAAAATGATTAAAGATGACCCCAAAGACTAGCCTAAATCAGAGGATGTGTGACGCAGCGGAAGCCCCTCCCTCTTCAGATATCACAAAGGGTGTGTATAAAACATTACTAAAGAACTCTGAAGCTCTGAAAACAACATATCTGTGTACACAACATTAACTGAGCAAGTGGGTCTGAATCCCACGACTAGTCACTGAATTTAAGTCTGTATATTTTTATTCAATAACTACCTCTTTCCAAGTGATTTTAAAAGGATTACAATAAAAAGATATACATAAAACAAAAGCAGAAAAAACAGAAGTAGATTCTCTAAACAATGTAAGTAAAAGGTTAAACGAATTTCAAAAACAAATGAATACAAAATCAGATATTGAGCTGCGTGGAAGCCAAAGAAAGGCAGAAAATATGGATCACATTTTTTTTTCTTAATGCATCCTAAAGAGAAAACTTCCAGAATTACTGGAAAGGAGTTTACCACATGGATTCTGAAGAAGAATAGGGTAAACCGTTCCAAGAAAGTCTAGGAATAATGGCAACATTAATCAAGCTCCTAAATTCAGGTCAGTTTCAGAAAATCCAAGTCTAGAGAAATAGTTCCGACCAGCTGCCAATTCTTTCTCTCTGAATAATTTAATTCAACTAAATTGTCAAACACCAACTGTGTGCATGTTTTATGATGGTAAGGAGATGCAAAAATGAAGATAACAACTGTGTTCTTAAAGTGATGGTGATCAAACAGTGCAACAAAACATAACTGTATTATAGCCAAAAAGAAAAGAGGAGATTTGGGAGCACAGAAGAGGCAGTGAACCAGGAGTTTCAGGGAAGAAGTAATAGACATGATTTCAACAGCAAGATGTGATTATGTTGGTAGAGGTGCATTTCCAGAGGGAAGCAAACTATGGCATAAGCGCGCTGGCAGGAAAGAAAGTTCACAACATGTTAGGAGAATGCTGAAAGGTGTGGTATAATTGACAAGGGTATGAAATTGTGAGAGCAGTGAGACATCACGTCAAACATGTTGACTAGAACAAGATTATGGGGCCTCACTTAAAAAATCCAGACCTCTTTCTAGTGGTGATGGAGAATCACCAACGAATCCAACAAAAGCTGTTTTCTACAACAGTTGTTCTCACTGTACACAGGAAGGATTGATGAGGCAAGCAGACGGGAGACAGAAACCTAGGTAAGAGGCTACCATAAAAACCCAAGCAAATGAATACTAAAAGCCAAAATTAGGGCATTAGAGTGGGAATAGGCACTAAAGGAGCAACTTGGAGAGCTACTGCAGAGGAACAATCAATAGAACTCAATGACGAGGAGTAAAGGCACAGAAATCAATTTCAGGCTACATGTTCTGGAAATCCTTTCTTGGCTCTCCTACCAAAGTCAGGTCTTTATCTGGGGTCCCGCTGCACTCTAGCACAATGGGACCACACTTAAAATTATTTAATGTCTTTCTAAACCATTTGGAAGAGGGGACAAGCTAGTAAGTCTTTGTAATCCGATTTAATGAGAGTAGTTGCTAATTAACTATTTTACTGAGTGAATGAATAAATATATGAATGAATGAACACTGAATACATAATAAAGATGAGCAAGTAGTGAAGAATAGACAAGAACCATAATTGAATATGACAAGGTATACTCATTTAAATGTCATTGTACATAGGTAACAAAAGGGATCAGATTTGTGTTTTCCTTTACTAAAGACTTTTGAAGGTTCTGCCTGGAGGTGCAAAAGCTCAAAAATGTCTAGTAAATTACATTCATATGAGAATGCTGAGGAGTTTGGGATAATTGACAAGGACACGAAATCATGAGAGTAGTGAGAGACAACGTCAAACATGTCAACTAGGTCTAAAATTACCTTGGTAGAAAATATTTCCTCAGTCCAGCAGTAGGAAAAAATACTTTCTTCTTAAAAATTTTATAGCCAGTGTTAATACAACCATGAGTTCTATGAGAAACCTCTAGATGAAAGTAGTCTTAATTTCAACAGCAGAACTTTTCATTTGTATTCTTCACCTTTCCCTCAGTGTTTGAATGACAGCTAAAGTTCATAAATACTGAAGGATTCTCACAGAAACTGAAATCTGTCTTATACAAAATTATAAAATATAATTGTTTTAAATTTCTGATTTTCCAAATGTTCTAAATGCATTTCAAAGTCAGCAGCAAGTTTCAGGTCTTAGTTACTAGTTGTTATATAAATGCTCATAAAAATAATTATGACTTTTCTGATCTCTCAGTTGATTTGCCTTGAAATGTATCTAAATACTAAGTTAATCTGAGAATATTCAGGACATACAGAAATAATGTGGACTTGTGAAATGGTAAAAGAATTGGCATCAGAAAGTGGAGCTCAAACTCTTACTCTGCCATTTGCTTTATCTTTATACGGCTCAGTTTTTCTCATCAATTGCTAACAATGGCAGCTATCTCTGAGGTACTGTGAGATTTGAGAGAGATGATGTATGAACAAACTAGCTCCTAACTATAAAGTGCCTTCCATATGGGAAGCATTAGTATTAATAAGGAAAATCTTAAGAGAGTCAAGAGGTTCAGACTACAATCAACAGACTCAGTTCTGGTCCCAGGCTCGTTATTATCTGGCTCCCGATGGAAACCAAACCCACTCTGGCCTCAGCTTCTTCTCTGAAAGAGACTTGAACCTGAGATCTCAAAGCCTCCCACTCCCAACACCACACTTTTATTATTCTAAAGATAACTGTTCTTACTGTTGCCACATGACTGTTGAAAAAATGCTCTCTCAAGTAAGCCAAAGTCATTCTTCATGAGGAAATTAACCACCTCCCCAAAAGACAGCATATCGGAGACATACTGCCTAGGGCTGCAGTATTAAGAAGTAAGAAACGAATATACAAAGACAAGCTGTCTGAATCCTAGATCTGCACCTTACCAGCTATGTAAGTTGGAGCAATTTATTTCCAGTGTTTGTGCCATGGTTTCTGCACCTTAAAATGGAAATAATAATATCTCTGCAAAGTTGCTATACAGGTTAAATGAATGTAAGTCCATTTGGAGGTGTTTGGAATAGGGCTTATAGTCAGTGCTCAATAAATTATTTATCAGTGTGCTTTAAAAAAACATACTGCCGCTTCTAATCAAAATTTTACCTGTAGTAGCATTTTCCAATCTGCACTTTCCACCACCAGTCCTTGTACTGAGAATGCTCTGTGGAAAGGGCAGCCAGATCCAAAGCCTTTGAAAACAATACATTTTAGATTAGGACCTTCTTTTCTAACAGTAAACAGTCAGAAAGATAAATAATGAAATAAACCACATAATTAGCATCAGTCAAAACATGCATTAGAAATCAGGCCAAATCATGCTTCCAGATGGCCCCTCCAATTTTCCCTAAATAATCAGTTCCAGACCAGAGGGCTAACAGCAGATGAGACAAAACTGATCGAAGGGAAGCAGATGTACAATATACTGTATTGTAATACAATATACAAAGCACAAAATTGATATTAAAAGACCACAGGTTTTTAATTTTCTTCCTAATATTTATCTAGTGTCTAATGATTCAAAATGTTTCCAAACTTACTAATGGTCAAGCTTTTGGAAAGACGGGTCCAATAGCAATCCTCACTTTAAACACAGATGTAGAGAAAACACAGAAGGTTCATAAACAAATAAAACCAGTTAATAAAAATGAGTGGAAGGAGTTAGGGTATTATTAGGTGACTGCTACCTTCAACAGTTATTATTCCAATATCATCTTACATATCAAATTCGAAGGGTCAAAAGCTGCAAACTGAAAAAGAACTCCTTCATTGATTTCATATTTTACATTTCTTTATCCCATATCTTTAGTATCTTCTAGTTTGTTCCTTCCAGCATTTATCAAAGAAATAACCAAGTGGGTATTAGGATTTTATATAGAGGAAAAAGAAACTATTCTGACAAAACCAATTTTGGCAAGTCAGCTTTTACACAAATTTGAAGCTCAGAAATTTTAAGCCCCTACGAAGAAATGATGAGTAGAAGTTAGAGTTATTAGTTAAATGAGAATTCTAGCTTTAAAAAAAAGTACTTATTCTTCCCTCAAAGTTGAAAACTTTTTATTTGTAGTGTTAATTATATCCATGATTTCCAATAGCTCGGTTAAAGTAACTCTGAGATATTCAGTTCTATTATCTCAAAATTCATCCCATATTACCATCCACTTCTTAATATTAGTTCTTTTCTGAAATGAATGCTAAAAGAGTCTTTTCAATCTTCTACTGCAAAATTAATTACTTTTCCCGGTGTTCCCTATCTTCTCTTGCTCCAGGGGAGACCTCTAAATATGCAAACTACTTATAAAAGAATGGTGTCACCATGCTGAGCTTCTAATGGACTTGAAAAATCAACATCTCTACTTGAAAGCTATGGAAATTAAAAACAAGCCACATACTACTTTCAATATGCTTATTTTTCTTTTGTCCCCTCCAGACAGAAATAAAAAATGAAAGCAAAAAATGAACAGGAAAGAATAACTTCAATTAGCATGATCTCTAGAACTACTAGGAAAATACATTTTTCATCAGCTCAACTGAATCATGTACTGTGAATATCTGAACATACTAATTTTAACTAAATCTTTATAAAGATGTTTTCCAGTACATGGGTCATGTTTACTCTTAAGTTTCACATAAAAGGCCTTCTATTTTTTAGGAAAAATAAAAATTCTTCTTTGAATTTCATTCACAATTCTTTTTATATATTCTGACTCCCCAAGCTTGGATTACAGGCTTTGCATTTAGATATAGTCCTAAAAACAAGTCTTGTAGTGGAAGAAGGAACCATATGTTTATGCTAATTCTACCAAGGAAAATACAAATTATTGATACAGAATGTGAGTGACTTTTAAAATTACATTTCAATAATAATTTTCCACAAGGAATTAAGTCTGCAATTGAGAAAAATATTTGTGACAATTTCAAATGGACCTAAGCTTCCTGAGGACAGATACCTTTTTTTTTTTTTTTAACATTTTAACAAAGCCAAAGACAAAAACCATATGATTATCTCAATAGATGCAGAAAAAGCATTTGACAAAGTGATAAAACCCTGCAGAGAATTGGAATAGATGGTCTTTATATCAATCTGATAAAAGCCATCTATGACAAACCAACAGCGAACATCATACTAAACAAACAAAAATTGAAAGGCTTCATTCTGAAATCAGGAACAAGACAAGGATGCCCACTATCATCACTCCTTTTTAGTGTAGTTCTGGAAACAATTAGACAAGAGAAAGAAATAAGGTAGGAAAGGAAGAAGTTAAACCATCATTATTTTCTCTGCTGTTGTTTTGGAATGTTGCTGTGTTCATAAGAGACACTTGAGAATTACTTGTTGATTGAATTAGTTGTATTGCTTCTGATCTATGTTAAAAATAGCTTAAGAATCAAAAAGACTATCATAGTAAAAGATTTATAATTAAAAGTTACTAACATCTTTAAATTTTTAGGTGGTGACAGATCTGTATTTCTTTAAAGTCTTGCCCAATTTTTTAAATAAATGACAATATACTTACAGTTAAGAATTTTTGAATAATTTAATAAAATTAATATCTATATATGAATAAGTCCTAGAATGTCACTTTAAAAGCCATGTTTTATAAAAGTAAAAATATAAAAGGAACCATGACAGACCTAGACAATATAAGGTATGTGGATTTGTCCAACCTCTCCAGTTTGTAAAAAGTCAACCTGTCACTGTTATAGTTGTGACAAATTCAGGATGATGAAATTAAAGAACATATTAAAAAAGTTCAAAAAAAAAAAAACCCCAAACAATTCCAGAATCATCAACCCACGTGCTAATTCAATTTTGTCAATATTGCCAAAATTGGCCCAAAAGGAACGGCTGGGCAAAGCGTTATTTCAAACTCAAGGCAGAAATATAGTTTTCTGTGGATCAACTTTACTTTTGCTTAACATTTAAATTCCATTGTAGTATTCTGTAGAATTACAGCATTCTCCCTGTATGTGTACAGACAAATATAGAATCACCAACCCACACGTCACTGTAGTTTTGTCAATAATGGTCCCTACATTGGGACAGTATTAAGACCTCAAAGATAGAAATTTAGTCTATTTTTATTTTCTTAATGTTCAAATGCCACTTCACAGTATTCTTTATATCTATCGCTAATATATTCTATATTTATATGAAGTACTTTACTTAAAAAACATTTAGAAGGCTACCCAAAATATCTAATATAAAACCACCTCTGATTTCTTAAGCAGGTTTAAAAAACAATTCCTTTGTTGTTTTTCCTTCCAAGGATGAAAAATATATATAAAATGCAGGCTTTATGCTTGTTGTATAGTTCTTTCATCAGAAGACAACTTCTGTGGGGCTGGGGACTTAGCTCAGTGGTTCTGCCACCTGCCTCACAAGCACAAGTTCCCAAGTTCAATCCCTGGTACCAAAAAAACAAACAACAACAACAAAAAAGAAAATAACTTTTGTAGTGAAATCTAAAATGACATTTTAATGGGATGATCGATCTACAAGAGCATTAGGACATGGCAAGCCCGTGAGAGTTAAGAAGGGGCTCACAGGACCTCTCTCCTACTCAGTATCCAGAGCCCCATCACAGTACTGACACATGGGTACTAAGCCTTATTTATTAATAGAATAAAGCAAACAGATAATACATCAAAAAATAACTTGGTGAACAAAAAGGAGAACGGAAGAACAAATAGTTTGTGCTTTTCACTAAGTAAAAACAAAACAAATTGCCTCACTGTATGGTCTACAATATAGTTAAAAGGAGTGAAAACAAAAAGGGTACAATTAGAAGCATTTTAATTTATTCCTGCACCTAGTTTATGGCTATATTTATAAATGAAAAGTTGCTATATCTTTATTGTTGCAAATTTTGAAAAAGAAGTTAAAATTAGACTTAATCTCCATTAGTACCACGAGGCATTTCTGTTTCTCTTATTGTCGTAACCCAAGCTGCTGGCACAATGTAGGCATTCAACAAATATGTGTGGAAGGAATACATCTTAATCTCATAGTACTACTATTTTCATTTTTAAGTAATACTATCTGTCATATCTTTCACACATATATGGAGAGAGAGACAGAGATAGACAGTCATAATTCTGCCAAACAGACAAAATGCGTACTTTTCTGCTTCACAGTATAAAGTGAACATTTTCCATTTTTATCATTTTGATTATGATTTTATAATTATGATCATTAGTGGCTTCATGAAATTCCAACATGCTAGTTATTATAACTCACCATCACTGAACATTTAGGTTGTTTTCCAAGTATTTTTGCTACTACGTCTAATATGACAATGAATATCATTGTGAACATAGCACCTTGTTTTCTGAAATTCTTTGAAAAGTAAAATTATAGAAAAAATTAAATACGTATTTTTATGGCTCCCTGTTTTATATTTGCAGAATATTTTCCAGATTGTACTTCTTATGTTTATAATAGACGACAGTCAATGACATCACCCCCAAGCATTCAAAGCTGCTTTATTTTACATTTTGGTTGTTGAAAGGACATCTCTAATGTGCTTATTTACTGGCATCTCCTTGAATGTAAACTTTCTATTATTTGAGTCATTTCCATTTTCATAAGTTTCCTAAAAAATTCAGATAAGCTTTTTAAACAGGACAATATTTTAAAATCATATTTGAGGTACACATTTTGCCCTTCTATTGTGTTTTAATGTTAGTTTTCTTTGTGCCTACTCCATAGAAATTATATATATGAATCAGAAAGTCTTTTTCCTTTGTGGTTGCTTTATAACTCTAGCCTAATTTATGAAATATTTTATTATTTGCTAAAATTTTTAAAATTCTTCACTGATCAAATATCTAAAAGACAGTTCCCAAAATTTTATGTGTCATTTAGTGAATTATAAAGATCTATTTCAAAAAGAGCCAGCAATGTTCAGCATTGCTCATTTCTAATGTACTGAGTTTTTCACTATTAAAAATAAAAATATAAAATTTATAAATAGGGACTCCAGTTCTTTTTTTTTTTCAGCTTTAATTGAGTTTATTGGTATATTTTAGGGATACAGTACAGTTACATTCATTGTTGGGATCTTGTACCTCCATATGACAAGTCTTGATTCTCATTTTTTCCCCTTGTCCCTGCCCTCCCTTCACCCCCTCCTCCCCTCCCCATCTACAAACACATTATTTTCATCTTTTCATTATCTCACATTTTTTTCTTTTTCCTTATTACCCTTCCCCTACCCATCCCACCTTCCCTACACCTTTAGCTCCTTTCTTCCCATTTCTAAATGTCAGTAATCTTATTAGGATCTTATGTATTATTGCAGATTATTCACACCAGAGAAACTATTCGGTATTTGCACATGTGTGGGGACTCCAGTTCTTAATAGTATTTTGAATCACTTCCCCATTACTGAAATATATTTGAGTCATTTTTCTTGTCTGTTTTCTATTAATTCACTCATTTCTACCTGTTCATTTTTTGAAGCTCTGGCCTTAACATCCTACTGAGTGTCCTCAGCTCCAGTTCTCTACACTGTAAGAAATGTGTCCTAATGTTCCTATAGTTTTTAATGTATATTCTACAGCAGTAGTTCCCAATCCTGGCTAAAAATTAGCATTGCCTGTGGAGCTTTTAGTAACAGAGTCAGCAGACATCTCACTAGGGATTCTGATTCAGGAAGTCTAGTACAGAGCCAGAAATCCATTATTTTACAATGACCCTGGTATTCAGCAACTAAATTCAGTTTACCACTACAGGCCTCTCATCAGCTGAGAAGAGGAGCCCCGATAATTAAGTTCCAAGTTTGCTTCACCTGATGTGATTCGTGCAGTTCCACTCTGTCTGCTTTATATATTGGGGTCTAAATAAGATTTCATTTGAAGAAAATTATTTTGCTGCTTAAATGAAAAGGTTGACAGTCACTGCTCTATTTGCTTAAGGTCAAAATTTTAAAAACCAATATATATGAAGGACTGTGACTACATTCTTTAATACTATTAGCATAACATGGAAAGGTTAAAATCTAGTTCTTAGAATCTTTAGTACGTAAATCCAATAGCGCAAGGAATAAAACCTGCATTTACTGTCTTTAGGAGTGTTTTGGTTTGGTTTGGTTTGGTGCTGGAGACTGAACCCAGGGCTTCGCCCAGGTTAAGCATGTACTCTACATTCATCCTAGCTCTGTTTTTTTAGTATGGTTCCTATTTCTCAACATTATGTAAATCCCAGAATGTAGAATGATATCTTCAAGGTGAATCTACTCACAAAGACAGCATCACCATGACCTAACAATGGTGCGTGACCAGTTGAGTTTTGGAATTATCACCTGGAACACTTCTCCTTTTGACTCCCAGCCTCTCAACATTATGTAAATCCCAGAATGTAGAATGATATCTTCAAGGTGAATCTACTCACAAAGACAGCATCACCATGACCTAACAATGGTGCGTGACCAGTTGAGTTTTGGAATTATCACCTGGAACACTTCTCCTTTTGGGACTCCCAGCCACGCTGGCCTGCTTGCTATTCCTCACACAACCCCTTCATGCTCCATGCTGGCCTTCGCAGGAAAAGTTCTCACAGACTGAAATGCTCTTCCCACACAGAACTACCCTGCTCCTGTCCTTCTCACGCTGGTCTCTGTTTAAATGTTTTCTTTTCAGTGTGGACTTCATGGAGCACACCTACTCCATCCAAAACAGCATCTCCTCCATGTCATTTCTTATTCTCTCGCCCGTTTCCCCACTTTTTTGCTGCTATAGTGCTTATCATCCCATTAACATTTCATGTATTTTTAATTTGTTTATTGTTTCTATCCCTTGGCCAACCAGAATACAATCTACAAAAAGAGGAGAAATTTTGCCTGCATGCCTCCCTTTGTGAGCTTTGGAACACTGTAGTGGCTCAAAACACAAAAATATTGCATGAAAGAATAAATGTCTCTTCAGCAAATGAGTTCACCTCCAGAAAAAGAAGAGTACAGCTTTATGATATCCAGTAATTAGATATTTACTCATTTTTAATGACAGTAGATGCTATGATTTTACATATGGTCACACTGAAAGCCTCTATCTTTTAGTAACTGAAAATAATAGTTTGTATTTACAGAAATGTGCATGATTTCTCAGTTGCCTCAACCTCTATTTTCTCTTTTCCATACAGGACTACATCTGCAAATACTTCATTGTAGGTAACTACCTTCTGTATATACCTGTATACCTGGCCCAGGTTCTCACCTGCATTATAATGCCACATTTCTTAGTACAACCAGTAGTATCTCCAGTTGGTAGCCTTTTGTAATTTCAGGCTCAAGAGGCCCTTAAGTTAACAAATCCAGCTTCTTTACAAACTGCCTTTCCTAATTACCCTACTTCTGTTAGTAAAACCATCATTCTCTTAACATCCGTAGGAGGCAGAGTTGCCCTGTGTCTCTTTCCTTTGTCCCCAATATCAAATCTATCAGCAAATTTTGTCACTTTTTAAAGAAATACCTCTTTGCTGCTCCCATTTGGGGATAAGGCCTATTTACTTCTCATTCCATACTCTGCTCATTTTTGCCTTTTCTTTACATTTCTTTTCCCTCCTTTCCACAAAAGCCTACTTACTTTATAGATCTTTAGTAACACTACCCCTTTTGAATTTTTCCCTTTGCTAGTTGTGACATTTTGGTTTGGCAATTACTTCTTTGTTTCATTTATGTCAATGTTATTTCCTCGGCTAGATTGCATGGTAAAGGCAGGCTAAAGTGTCACGTTTCTATTAGTTCTCCTAGTGGATTTCACTGCGGCTGACACGAAGAAAACACAACTGAGGAAAACATTTTTGTTTTCCTGATTCAATAAATGGATATAAAGCTTTTATCCTGAATTAACAGGAAAATTAGGCACTACAGAAATAACTTCATATGATCTAACAAAATTTGCCAGGTTCTAATAATTTATATATTAGCAAATAGAAACAAATTTGAAAAGTCAAATACAATATAACCTCAAAATTCTTTTCAAGAAGTTACCAAGAGGATTGACTATTGCTGAAGCTGGGTGGCACAGTCTCTTTACACTATTTTTCTGTATTTACATTTGAAATCTTTAATCATATTATTAAAGAAGGGGCACACGACAAAGAAACTACAAACAGATATATTAGTAAACCTCTAATGCATTACATGGACTAAAGAAAAATCAACAATGCTAACAATTAGCATGAAGAATAAATTTAAACACAGCATATTATGCAGTATTCTTAATTATCTGTATCTTGCATTTTAATGGAGAAGTGTATGCTCTGCAATTCAGACAAATTATCCCACACAAACTGAGAGTGGATTTACAGTGATAGTAATTCTCCAATCTTCAATAATTCCATTTATTTATAGGGTAATAATTAGAGCATTTCAGCATCTAAATCCTCAGAAAAGTCAGAAAAATTACAATAAAAGAAAATAACATGAATTCACAACTTACAGTCTTAATATCATTTTCATGATGAAAGATATATTCAAACAAAGCCTGTAAAGAAAAAAATGTCAAGTATACATTGGGTTTTGTTCTAATAAAAGTACTTTATTGTCTTATCAAAGCTCAATGTGCAACTGAATAAAAAAACCATATACCCTAAAGTGTTTGGAATTCATAAGTAACAAACCTAGTCATTATTTGTTAGAATCACCCATTTTAAAATGTTGCTATTTACAACTGATTCCTATTTTTACAGACTACCAACTAGAAAGCGCAAAGAATAGAACTTTTTTCTTTCTTTTTTTTTTGGTACCAGGGATTGAACTCGGGTCCTTGCACTTGCAAGGCAGGCCACCGAACCACTGAGCTAAATCCCAGGCCCTAATAGAACTTTTTTCTTCCTCCTATTACATATGCTATTTTATTAGGAGAAAAATGAAGTTTATTTTTGAAGACTAATATTCCTGAAAACATTCAGTCGACTTTTATATGCTACATTTATAGTGGTTATGATTCAATAATGACAATTTAGACATGCAAAATCTAGAAGTTTTTTTCTGAGATAAAGTAGAATATAAGCATAAAGTAGGATGGGAGGAGCTTAACTTCTAAAATTGTTTATCCTTATTCAACATTTATGGTAACTCTGTAATTCAGAATACTCAGGTTTCTTTAACAGGGTGCTGTTCAGCTTAATTCACTGAAATAAAAGGATCCCAGCCCTGTATAACTAATGGAATATTACTCAGCCATAAAGAACGAGAAAATAGATTCATTCATAGGAAAATGGATACATATTGAAGATATACTCCTAAGTGAAATAAATAAGGCACACATGTGTAAATACCGAATAATCTCTCTGGTGTGAATAATCTGCAATAATACAGAAGATCCTAATAAGATTACTGACATTTAGAAATGGGAAGAAAGGAGCTAAAGGTGTAGGAAAGGTGAGATGTATAGGGGAAGGGTAATAAGGGAAAAGAAAAAAATGTGTGATAATGAAAAGATGGAAATAAAGTGTTTGTAGATAGGGAGGGGGAGAGGGGGTGAAGGGAGGGCAGGGACAAGGGGAAAAAATGAGAACCAAGACATGTCATGTAGAGGTACAAGATCCCAACAATGAATGTAACTGTACTGTATCCCTAAAATGTACCAATAAACTCAATTAAAGCTGGAAAAAAAAAAAGAATTTAGAATGAAGGGAGATAGTGAAACCTTGGCATTACATTTTTTAAAGCTCTCAGATGACAATAATGTAAGAGCAGAGCTGAGAATCGTGATTTTTTAATGCTTTTCCAGATCAATAAGCATTTTTTGGGTTACTTCTTGATGGCACAACCTTATCCATAGTACTATTATTTTATACTTGCCTGGAGCTAATGTTCCTGGAAGATGGCAAAGTTATTAATGGGGAAGACTTGAAAGCAACCAGTGAAAGAAAAAACAAACCAGGAAAAGACCCTTCCTTTAAAAAAAAAAAACTTTATCTTAGGGTGGGGGATTTAGCTCAGTGGTTCTGCCACCTGCCTAGCATGTGCAAGGACCTGAGTTCAATCCCCAGCACCAAAAAAAAAGAACAAAAACTTTATATATTTCTTTTGTAACCCAATAAATAAATAAATAAAGGTTCAGCAGGTTCTGCCACTACCATGAAAAAGATGTGACAACACCCAAGAGAGCATCAGAGAATCGCCACAGGCACACACAGCTCAATATTAGAAAGGGGTCCTGAGGAGGCAAGGCAAGTTGGAGCCAAAGATGGGCTGACATTGTTTCTAAAACATACTGAAAAAGCACAAAATGCAATTCACGCTAAGCCTTGTACACAGACCAGGTCCATCCTACATGCATCTTAATTTAACTGAGGGAAATGTCTCCAATAACTGCACTCCCTCATTAAAATGTAGCAATGGCACTGACTGTAACCAGTCAGTCACCTCAAGTAAATAGCTTACTGGAGTTCCTTTTAATAGTCAATTCTCATAACGGAAAGAGAAATAAGTAAAGTTTACAATTCTACTAAATGCAGTTTATTAGACTGCTGTCAAACAAGAATTTAAGAAAAATATCAGTTTATTATAGGCTGATTACCTGTCTGCCAAATGGCATTTCTTTTTCCAATTTAAACTTGGGAGTCTATATGACTAGTGTCCATTTTTATTTACTACTAGAGTGTGGCACTTATGTTAAACACCATTAGAACTGAGATCAGAATGAGCTCAGGGGCCAGGGATATAGCCCAGTGGTACCGTGCCTGCCTTGCAAGCGCAAGGTCCTGAGTTCAATCCCTGGTACAAAAAAAACCAAAAAACAAAAAACCAACAACAACAAAAACAAGCTCAGCATTCATACAGAGTTCAGAAACTAGAACTGAAAACCTGGGCTAGGATTAAACCACTTGCCAGAAGATAAGGGCTCCTATCTCTGAATTACTCCAAGCTCACCCCATTCTTTGTACTAGAAAGGTCATGGACAACATTCTCATTTTCTTTCATTCTCTTTTTCTTCCCTTCTCCTGCCTCTTTCTCCATCTTTTACCTTCTTCCCCTCTGCCTCTAATCTTCTCTTTAAGTAATATTTAAATTACAATGACCAATGTGTTTGGCTTGCCACTGTTTGACTTGAATAATCATTATTGAGATGTATGTTTAATTCCTAATTAAGAGTTTATTTGTATCATCCTTTTGATAGTCCTAAAATCCTGCAAGGATAGAAAATAATTTTTCTGAGAATAGTCTAAACACTAATCTTAAAAATACACACACACACACACACACACACATAAGCTCTTGAGATTCATTTTATGAAAATTATACTGCATACTTGCTTTCTTTGTTAAAAACTGTTTTGTGGGGCTTGTGATTTAGCTCAATAGTTCCACTGCCTGCTTCACAAGCGCAGGGTCCTGAGTTCAATCCCCAGTACCAAAAAAAACAAAAAAAACAAAAAAAACAAACTGTTTTGTTTTATTTTTTGTTTGTTTGATTTTTTTTTTTTTTTTTTTTTTTTTTTTTTTTTTTTTGGTACCAGGGATCGAACTCGGGTCCTTGTACTTGGGAGGCAGGCCACCAAATCGCTGAGCTAAATCCCCCCACCCAAACTGTTTTGTTTTGAGATAGCTCTCACTATGCAGTTTAGGCTGAATTTTGAACTCACTATGTAGCCTTGACTGGCCTCGAACTCAACAGAGATCCCCCTACCTTAATTTCTCTAGTGTTGAGATTACAGATGTGTACCACCATGCTTAGCAAAATTACTGTTCTTTATTAGAGAAAAATAATTTCCTATAATAATGCATAAGTACTTTATTTCTGATTGACTGCTTTTAATTTAAGACTAAGAGAATTTTTACATATTATAGCAATTGATCATTCCCATTTTAATCAAGATATGGCCTTTGCTTCACAAATCTTTATTTTGTCCAGTGTTATTATCATCATACTTCTAACATTACTTTATTTAAAAACACTTTAAGTACATACCTTTGCCAATTTAGGTTTCTGGGAATATTTTGTTAAATTCAGTCTAGATAAATTTATAAATGGTCCATCAGGACTTGTAAGCATTGAAGCCTATGAGGGAAAGAAAAGATACAATAAAAAATCTAGTTTAATGTGCATAGAAATTATAAAAGCAACATAAGTGAAAAAGAATCATTATCAAGAATTGCCACGTAATTTTCCAGTATCACAGTAGTGATATAATGCACCATAAAGTCTCTTCAGTAACACAGGGCTATGGGAAAGTTCACAGAACTTACCGTCCCTAGCCTGATGAATCTTCCGGATGAGCTTGTGATGGGGCGCGCTGTGTATACAGTTCTGGGTGTTCGGATGGCTTGTTCCATGGTTCCCGGCCTTCCACTCTGTGTGCCTGGCCTGAGGAAGCCAGTAATGGGTCTTCCTGCTTGAGTGATTGGCCTGTGAAGATCACAAATTGTTATGATGCAAAGAAGATCAATTAAGGAAAGATTTGCATAACATCTGGTCAATATTTAGTGGTGGATCCTATGAACAGAGGCACATACCTGATTGCTTGACTAGGCCCTCCTGTCTGATTAGTGCCAGGGAGTTTCAAAGATGTTCCAGGGCCTAGGGAATGATAGCAGATTCAAACCATGTATTTATTAATCTGTAAAAACTGTCAGATAATCTAATTTTCAGAAATGTGTTGGCTTGGTGAAAAAGACATTAACAGCAGAAAATGTATTTTAAGGAAATGTATTTGAGATGAATAATATTCAGCAAGTATCATGTTACTTATGTTATCACATTTAATCTTCACACTAAGTCTACAAGGAAAGTAGTTCTAACTTATTTAACAAAAATTAATTGAAATAAGTAAAGGTCAACTGATTAGTTGAGGTCAGATTCAAATTTAAGACTAGCAGGTTCCAAAGTTCAAAATGATGATTCTATATTCATAGATTAATTTTTTCATATAATATCCTTCCCCAAAAAATATCATTTACTAACAATATCTAGAATTTAGATATCTTAGTTCTAAAAGAATGAAGCAATGGGGAAGAAAGAAATTTTAACAGGAAGCATATATATCTTTTTCTCAACTTCCACTTCAAGCTTTAAAATGACTACTATCTTCCAAAACATACACGCAACTGAGAACTGTATCAACTATTCAGTTACCAGCAAGACCACCACATGTCATGGTAATCATCCAATACTATTTGCCACACCTAACTGGTAAGCTGAGGACTGAGCCTTTGTCACAATCCCAATAGACACTCACTGCCCAGCATAGGACCTCATGACCTCACACCATGCGTTAGAGCAAATTCTCTCAGATTATAGGCAAGAAATGATGTTTTCAGATGAGTATTTTGCAAAGAAAAATCGTTTTAATACACTTCTGATGTCTAGATGCTTCCTGTGTTTACACTTCCAGGTAAACAATCTTCTGCTTTATTAGATAAACCGTGCAAGCAGAATGCATTTTTATAAAAATATTTTTAAATGTATAACAAAGCTTTTAAGGAAAAGTATATATCAATCTCAAACCTTAAGTTGAAGAGAATATCACTGAATGGTGGAAGGAAATACTTTGTACTAAAAGGCAGAAGGAAAACCATGCATTTAAGGTAATTTTTCATATATATATATATGTATATACATATATACATATATATATATATGAAAATATACATGCTTCACTTACATAATACTTATATATATTTAAAGTTTAGAAAAATATACATATATATTCCTCCTATATAAACAGTAGTATTTTTCCTCCTAATAACATCTCATTAACTTAAGAATCAATACTTACGTGGAACTTGAGCAATAGCATTTTCGTCCAGAATCATCTCTGCAATTCCTTTCTGATCTACATCAATTTCATCTATATACACCATTTCAGTTAGTGCTCGTGCTTTTAAAATCCAAGCTGCCTATAAACCATGGATAAATAAAATACATATTAAAATAGCATTATCCCTTCCCTGCCAAATAAATAAATATTTAAGAAGTCAAATAGGAACATTTTTTACAATTCTGTAGGAAAATCTCCTTTTTCAAAAAGCTAAATAGATTTATATTTGTTTTGATTTTTAAAATTGAATTCTTAATAGAAATGATGATTCGAATTTTTGGTATTAGAAGATCTATAATAAGCCAGACATGGTAGTTCACACCTGTAATCCCAGCTACTCAGAAGGCTGAAGCAAAAGGATGACAAGTTCAAGGTCAGCCTGGCAACTTAGCAAGGCTCTGTCTCAAAACAAAATTAGGGGTGGGGATTTAGCTCAGTGGCACTGTGCCTGCCTTTCAAGCACAAGGTTGTAAGTTTGATCCCCAGTTCAAATAAATAAATAAATAAGGCTGAGTTTAATCCCCAATATCACACAAAAACCTATAATAAGATATGCTCAAACCATTATTTAATTTAAAATTTTATCAGTGTTTGAGAAAAATTAATCTTCCTGATTTTTTATCTATCCTAAAAAAGTGACCTTGAAAGCCACATACCATTGTTTGATTACATATCACGCTATATTCAAAGTATGACTTCTGGCAATGTGAACAGTTCTTGAGATTTTAATGAAAACAGCAGATGGGGCTTTAATTTTAAAATATAATTTATTCTTTTTAAATTTTGGAGATAAGCCAGGTAGGTTTTACAGTCCTAAACTCTTCTGCCTTTTTTTTAAAGCATATTATATTACACACAGCTATCTCAAATTGTCCCTTGAATATTGTTTTATCAAGTATACTTATCTTAACAAATGGTAGAATCACACAGTTAAAAAAAAAAGATGTCTACATAAGTGTATTTGCGTATTTTTGTATTGAGTATCATAAAGTTGAAAAAATGAGAAAAGGCATAGATTCACCCAATTATAACCAATATATCAATTATTTCTTTGTATCTGTGAATTATATTCCCATTTTACTTGCCTATTGAGATGTCTCTGGATTTTACACTTGTTAATCTGCCAGCTAACATCACAAAAATATTAATTCATTCATTCTAACTTTTGTAAGGTTATTTTACTTATGAAATAAACATGAAGTAAAGATTCTACTGGCTGAGTAAAACATGTTTAAAATCAAATAAATTGACCTTTATTAGTTTATTAGTTGAAAATCAGTAAAAATATTTGTTGATGCCCTGACTACTCTACAGAAATGAAAATTTCGTACGAGATATTGAATCGCTATTAAAAGCCTCATTGCTGTTCAAGTTGTAAATGTATGCAAAAAGAAGAGATTTCACAGTGCAAATCAGGGAGGTCAAAAGAATCCATCCAGTCTTGTACCCATTTATGTCTTTATCCAATATATACTGAAGACTATAGGGACAAAACAGAAAGATAAAGAAGGTCTTCGTGAAAACTCCGCACTTATTTGAAACTTTTAAGTATGATTTACAGTTTTCCAACCATGCCTATGATGCAAATTATTGGTATTTTAATTGAATTTTAATCAAAATCTTCCATAATTACTGGGAACAAAATGTTCATTTATAATTTACATTCTTCTTGAATGACCTGTACATGCTATGCAAAAAATAAGTTTTGCCCCATAATTCAATTTGTAAATCAAGATTGAAATCCTTCAAAAGATAAAAGGTTTTTAACCCCCTTACACTTACAGTTTTTGTTAATACTACGCAGGCCTCCATAAGGGTACTTTGTAAATTGCTTTCTATTCTAAAAGCTTTGATCATTACTCATATAAACGTCATATGAGGTTCAAATCATTCATTTACCTAGAGAATACTGCTTACATTCTAACTCATTTGTAAGGGCAAACACTTGGGAGCATGTAAGCGCTCTAATTTTTACTACGTGCATCTTTTTTTTCCTTATTCCTAGACCCTCATAGCTAAAAGCTTTTCTGGCCAGGGGTCCCTCTAACCAGACCTCCTCTCTTCTGGGACTTCCTCTTGACTCAGTCCCTTGTGTCTTATCCAGATAACATATCTCCAGCCTGGTGTCATCCATAAACAAGTTCGTTTTGCAGATGTGTCTGTCTGGCCAGTTCCCTTCCTTCCTCACTGTGGCAGGTTCCAAGACCTTAAGCAGACCCAAGAAGAGTTGTGCCACCCTATTCAAGACCTACTGTCCTATTACAGTCTTTCTAGACACTTGTGGCTCTGCTAATTCCCCAGCTCCCACCCTAAGCCCATGGCTCCCCTTGCCTCCTTCATTCTTCTCATCCTTGTGGTTATTCTTGTTCCTTTCTATTTAAGCCCCAAGTCTTAGAACAGCAGTTCTACAAGGTAATTCATAAACACAAAAGCATTGGAAATACAGTTATTTAGAGAAGAAGGTACAGAATATCAAGTAGTGATGACTAATTTTCTAACACAACAAATTATGCAGCAAATTTTCTAATCTATAGCAACAACTAAGCAGCTGATGTAATGGTTAAAGTATTCTCTAAACTACAAATAGCAACTAAACCTTTACCTGAGACACTGGCAAATCAAGAGCTGGTTCCTGGAAAGCATTAAGAAGGTAGTAAACATTTTAAGAAATGTAACTTCTAAAATAAAAGGTCTTAATGACTAACCAAGTATTTGTAGGTGAACTTAACTCATTCACTAAAAATCCAAATATTAACAAACTTTCTACCAAATAGTCTCAAGAGTTATGTGAAACTGACATAGAAGACTGCTAAACTGAAGAAGGCTAAATTCTTTATGGTCAGAAAAGTCTAATTAACCTAACCTCATTCAGAGCACAAAGAGAGAGCATCTTTATTTGTTCAATGAAGACATACTATTTGAGAAATTAATATTTTTCTAATTATACCAAAGAAATACTTCCTTAAATTTAAAGTTCAGGGTGGTTAAAACAGCCAAAATGTAACCACTTAGAGAGGAGAATGAAAATTCAAATAATATAAACCCTACTATTCCACAAAAGTATAATGGAATTAGAGGCTAGCAATTTAATTCAAACTGTAATATCTGCTGAGAAATTTTTATAAATATACTGTGCAATATACGCTAGTGCCAGGTGCTGGTAAACTTAGTACTTGAGGTTTGTATCTCCAAATTAAATGGAACCTATTGATTAAAATGATCAGAGCCACAATAAATTCATTTATAAAACATCTGCACTTATATATCTATGCAAAGCATCTGCTGAACACTTAGTCATGTTTTTATTGGAGAAACTACTAAGAAATAGTAAAAGGGGACCCAAATGCTTTTTTTAGGAATATATTATCTGTGTGAGTGCTGTGCAAACCAAATGGTCACCACAAAAGGATAAACCACATACTAAGTATAATGCATGGTAGGAACATGAAAGTAAAAGACTAAGTATAAACAAGGCTGGGAAGTCAAGACTTCAAAGAGTGGCTTTGGGGAAGATTCAGCACTGAACTGAACACAAAATAGCAACAAGAGAACACATGGCAACTGGAGATATTCAAAATTATTGCACATAAAAAGGACCTGGAAAAAGTACAGATTTCTTATACATAGCCCATGCCTAAGAAAACAGAGATACTGGGAATGAGATAGGAGACAAAAGGAGTAATCCTTCCTACTCTTTATGTCTCTAGGTCTGCATGGTCCCTTATCTTATCTGAATGTCACAAAAACCATCTCTAGGAAGCAAGTGGGTATTATTACCAATTTTACAGATAAGGAAACAAATTCAAGGATGTTATGTAATCTCTTCAAGGGCACTCAAATGGTTCTGAGAAGCAAAAGCTCTTTTTGGGGGGGGGGCAGGCACTCCGGGGTTAAAAAGAAAAAATAGTAAGGCAGTACTGAAGGGTAAAGTTCAGAAGTGATGCGACATGAGTCCAATGTCACAATGGGGAAGAGAGTTAACCAGAGGTGATTACAGACAGTGCTTGAAAAAGAAAAGAAAACAGCTAAAAGGAACAGAAGCCATTGATGCTAAACAGAAGCTAGGCTCTTGTTATTCTGTGAGTGGCAGGCAGATTCCTCCAGTGACCCAAACTCAAACCAGCAGTTCAGCCTCACAGGATTGTATCCACTGATGAAAGGCTTTGTGATCTGTCTTGTTCTCCTGCCCCTTGGGAAAACACCTGAGACTATAAGTGAAGAGTAGGTAGGGAATAATGAGAAGGTCAAAACAAAACAAAACAAAACACAAGAGGCCTTGAAGAGTGGGGAAGTGCGGAGACAGCCGAGGTGTAGAGGCAATGCCTGAAAGGATGTGAGACCAAAAGCACATAAATCCCACAACATTCTCCCAGTGTCACTGACATCCAAGGTACCACAAACATTCTGTGGGGGAGAAATGCACAATTAAATAAATTATAATACAATGTGTTAAATGCTATACTCACAGTATGGAAAAAGTATAAATGAACTAGACAGCAAAGCAGAAGACCTGGCCAATCAGAAGGGAATCAGAGAAAACAGATTATTCTAGAAGTTTTCAAATGCCAATGATTTATGAACTATTTTCAGTATCATTTTACCATCCTCTCACTGGACATTTCCCTCAGATATGGTTCCCGACTTCCGAAAATCCTTTCAGAAAAACATAAACAACAAAATCCTACATGTAAATATCTCTAGGGTGAAAGCTGTCAGAATCAAAATGGACTCACATGTGTCCATACCTAACCAAAAAATAATAAAATAAATAAAGATGGGAGGTTATGAAAGAGGGGATCTTGCTTGTGTTTATGTGCCAGATAATAAGAACCAAAGACCGACACACACACTTCCTTGCATAAAGGCCACTGAAATCTTTCACAGAAAATATTTCTACAAGGACATCTGTCCACAAACTGTTCCTATAACCCTGGACTGACACCACTTTTGTTACTGATCCTTGAACACCTTCCTATTAATCCTGTAGCAAGGATTATTTTTTCAGAATAATTTATGTAATCCTCCTTGCATTACCTTTAACCTATCTGCAGGTTAGCCTTGAACTCATGCTTCTCCTATCACAGACTCTCGAGTGCTGGGATTGCAGATACATGCCACCATTCCTGGATTAATGCTCACGGCAATGTTCCTGCTTATACCCAACAAATGTCATTATTCTTCAGAACCTTTCTATGTTATTTAGCTTGACACTAACTATATAGAGACAATAACAGCTACCATTTTTATTCACCAAACTTGAATTAAGAAAACTCTCACACAACCCTTTGACGTATAGGTGTGTCACTACCTCTATTACAGACAAAAAAACTCTGAAGTCTAGGTATGGAGGTAGTATTTCAAATTAGACACTCAGGGTCAAGAGCATGCACTGGTTACATATGTGGGATAATAGCAAGGAAGAAGACAGATACTGTAGTATATGGAGAGACCAAGGATAGGCACAGCTGGGGGAAAATCAGGATGTTTTAATTTCAAGGTAAGACAAAATATTACTAAGGATGCATCTTTGGGCTCTCTCAATTTTAGTTTTGTGATTTAAATCAAGCCACGCCCCTGGAAACCACAAGTTAGTTTTACTTAGTTTAGCAAAGTATTTGTACAGTTTCAACAGTTGAGTAGAAAGCACCAGGCCTTATCCTGGAGTCAGAAGACCTGGGCTTCAGGCCCCAGGAGCTACTCAAGACATGGTCTTCATTACCCTCACACTCCATTCATTATCCTCTCAATTTAAAGCAATAATACCTACTGTCTGAGATTCTTTCAAGGTCTAATAATAAAACCTTGCTTTTTTAATGATGCTTTACATGTTTAATCTCCAACACATGAAAAAAAAAACCACAATTTGCAGACTTCTTTCACATAAACTATCATAGCCAAGTGTAAGGTTAATAGACAAGCATCAACCATCAATTAGTCCCCTTTTTCAGAACCCAGAACTGATTCCCAATTATAGCTGATCAAATGGTAAAACTTTCCTCTGAATCCCCTTCAAAGTGGGCAGGAAGACCTGTAAAGTAGAACGGCACTGCCTGGAGCCGGCAAAAACTCATTAGCATCAACCTCGACTCACAGTTTACTTCCTTCCGCCCTCCCAAGGGTACAGCTTTTCCCTAGGCTGGTATTACTTCAGTGAATTAAATCTCCAGATAGTTCCGAATGCAGCGTCCTAATTGCCACCAACATTTCCTCTAGCTAATGAGTCTATCCAGCTTTACTTGGAAACCACTGAGTTGCTATTCAGAATTTAATAATGAAAGGAAGGGGAAAAATCTGTAAGAAAACAAGAGAAATGGATTGATTTCAAGAGATTAGGGAGACCAAGTGACTAAGCAGCCAAGTTAAAAATGTAATCTGTATAATTCAACAGAAATAAGAATTCACAAGATGGGCAGCCCACTTTCCGGTCTCCCTTCTGTCTTAGACAGAAGCTTTCTTTCTCTCAATGAATTTGTCCTACTCTTAAAAAAAATTTCACAAAATGAATACCTGAGTATGTACACAATCAAAAGACTAAGTCCAAGTAAGTCTCCATGGTCCCAAAGAGGAAACAAATTAGCTCAGTGTATAAAGGAAGGCATTTTTGGCTTGGATCACCAAATCGTTGTCTCGACAAACTACTAACATATAGCTCTCATTGGCGAGAATTGGTTTCATAACTTATCTAAGCCAGTGGTTTTCAGCCTTTTGTCCATCTTCAAATTATTTACAATAACAGCTCTGCTTCTCTATAGTATCTCTCATTATAAGTAGAGATTGGGGGAGTGAATTGGAAAACGCTCTTTGACCTTTAATAATCTGAAAAATCTACCAGAAACCTATCCGCCCTCATGAAGTCATATTGTCTTTTAAAACCCATCCCCCCATTGCTTGAAAAATAACCACATTTCATGAAATGTTTAATTACAATGGAGCTTAAAAAAAAAATCAGGACTAGTTCTAAAGCCCTGAATCTGACATATGGAACACAAAGAACAATAATCAGATTAAGCAACTAATCAGGATGATCACCATGAACTGCAGAAGCAAGCATTCCCTCTAGGTCACACTGCTTTATGGAGGACTGATTTGTCATTCCCATCTTTTATATCCAATAAGTATTTTGATACAATTTAAAGTATACTTTGAAAAAAAAAAAGGCCATATTTCATTTGAATTGGTTATCCTTACTACACAGTACTTTATTTAAAAAGGGAAATTATGCTAAATTAACCTGATATACTCTTTCTTTACTCCTAAAAGATCCAAACTTCAATGCCCTTCTTGCTTAGGGACTGGCCCTTCATCTCTTGGTATTCTGTGTTCATTCTTCAAGTATGTTTCCCATTAAAAAAAAAAATCACATTATTATGTTCAACCTATCCTTGAGTTCATTTGTGGCCAAAAAATATATATTGCTCTAAGGAAATATGCTATTCCACAGTTGTATATCATACCACTCTGGCTACCTGGATTACCTTGACTTTGGCGAGATCCAAAACAAAATTAAACCCAATGTCCTAATGCAAAATAAAAGGCACTAATTACAGATTTCTAATGATACTATACCACAATGGTTTCCCTTAAAGAGGAAATAAAAGCAGATGAAGTAGTTTTAGAAACAGGATTCAGTGAGTAGGCTGATGTATCAGGACCAAAATGTTTTCTTTCTGAAGCTCCACGGCCCAGTTTACAAGATTAACGAAAAACAAATCACTTTAGTGAGGTTCATATCTTTCATGTGAGCCAGTGGTTTTCAGCCTTTTCTGCAAAATCAAAGGGAAAACATGATTATTAAAAGGTGGGGGGGCAGGGACAAAGGAAAAAAATAAGAACCAAAACCTGTCATGTAAAGGTATAAGATCCCAATAATCAATGTAACTGTATTGTAAACCTAAAATGTACCAATAAACTCAAAAAACAAACAAACAAACAAAAGCGATCACTTTTGAGGGGGAGGAAAATAAAAGCAAAAATGAGTCCATGTTGCACTCAAAAGAAGTATTTTAATTTCCTTGCTCCCCTGTGTATCCAGGCCTCAAAGCAACTGATTTATACTAAAATCAGTTTGGTGGGGTGGAAGTACTTCAAATAGGTGGAAAGGGAAAGTACTCTATAATGTGAAAATTCATTAAGTGCCCACAGGGCTAAATAAGCATGTGAGGATAAACCAGCTAATGTGAGACTGAGGACCATCTACTCTGCTCTGATCACATTTCTGCTAATTGTTCATAGATTGTGAATCTTCCCATCATTTAGTTTCCTCCACTGAAACAATGAAAGAACCATAAGAAATTCCAAAGATGATAACTACCATTAGAAACACTCTCCTAGCCTAGCCAAATGGGGCGGCACATGCCTTTAATTCCAGTATTCTGGGAGTCTGAGGCAGGAGAATCACATGTATAAGCCCAGCCACAGCAACTTAGTGACTTAATGAGATCCTGTCTCAAAGTAAAATATTTTTTAAAGGGAGGAAGTGGCTGGGAATATAGCTCAGGGTAAAGGCCCCGGGTTCAAAGCCCAACACCGTGGGGTAGTGGTGGAGGGGGTTTCTTCTGGAGATATCCAGGAAGAATTTTCTAAATAGATTTTTTTCAAAACAGACTCTCAAAACAAGAAATGAACTAGAATGCCCATAATGCAATTATATTTATTTGAAAGGCAAATGTACACTTAAGAATGTACTGAGAATTGAGGCTGGTGTTGATTATTAAGGATGGGAGCAAGATCGAGCAAAGATTGTCAGGCAGCTAGGATGATCTCCATAAGCTAGCACATAGGAATAACTCCATCAAAACACACACATGAATAAAATCAACACACTCAGAACATCAACACTGTAATACAGTTTTGTTTTGTTTTTTATCTAGTTAAGAAGGCAGGATTTTTTGAAGCTTGGGGGAAATCATATTGGGAAATATTTCTAACATGAAAGAAATCACATGTGGGTAAAAACTCAAACTGGTGCTCATAAAAGCTTACGGTAGATAACAGCACATTGTTTAAAGTTGGATCAAGGAATAACCAATATAAACACTCCTGTGAACTTTTCAACAGCCCTATCCAGGTACCTCAGCCTACTTTGCTAAGATGATTTCAAGATAAAAGTCTATTCCTGGTAAAATGATACTCATTATTCTGGCAATGCTTATAATTCATCCACAAATAATCTAGTTTACCAAAACAAATAAAAATATTAGAAAGGAAAAAGAATGTTGTAAGTTTCTTCCAGATCTGGTACTGATTCTCTTAGCGCTGCTTTGATATTTATCCAGGCCAAACACAATCCCTATTCACGACAATAAAACAGTAACAATGAATAACTTTCTATTTATTCCAGATCCACAAGAAATAGGACAATGGAATAGGCCAGGACCTAATAAGATCTACTGCCATAATAGTGTTACCAGTGTTAATAGCTATCCAATGCCAATAGCAGTATTTCTCAATATGATCTTGTACTTGTTGTCTTCATCATTATCAAAATCATACTTCCACCAAACAAACCTAATAAATCTTAATCTTTCAAGAGAGGCACTATACCCTATAGGAGTCACTATACTATAGGAGTTGTACAAGAGGTTTCATAAAAGGACCCAAGCTCGTATAGCTATTAACATGAAATATTTTCAAAAAGAACTTAGTTTTCCTATTTTTTCTAGATAAAAGGAAAGGATTTAAGATCTCTTCTGCTACTCCTCTTAATCATAAATAAAACAGTGGTGCTTTACCTATTAATTTCGCTAGATGATCTCTCACCAAGATAACAAGAGATATTTGCCCTCCTGTCTCTCTAAAACAGGAGCCAGGGGGTCCAATAAGTTGCAGAACTCCTGGCTTAGTCAAAATTAGGTAGAGTTTTTTTCCTTAAGGACTTCCCAAAGGTTTTAGTCTGACTACAGAGATATGTCCAAATTACTTAACACTACACTAAAATCTTTAAAAAGGCAGAGTAGATGGAAAAATATATTGGGCAAAGCTCTGAAAATTCAGCCATATATATGAGTCAAAGAAGCTTCAGTAGTTTAGACAAAAGGTGTGGGCTTACTAGCTTTGTACTTCTGGACAATTTACTTCACTTTGTGCTTCAGTCTCCATCTGTTAAATGGGGAAAATTGCACCAACTCCTACAATGGTTGAAGATTAGATGAGATAACATAATAAAACAGAGAGCCAAGCTTTTAGCTATTATTTTTGTTAATTACTTTGGAAGGTTATTCTCAGTACTAGAAATGCTACACACAGCTTTCAGAAATGACATCTGGGAAGTAGCCCACACTTGATAAGAAGGCCATTGAAATAATCCCATAAAAACTCCTGATCACAATGCCTAGCTCAAATGAATCTCATTTCACAAGTACAGCACTGAATGTAACTACAGAATTAAAACTATAGAGTCTTTATTAAACATTAACAAAAATACTGCTTAAATACTGCTGTGCTTAAAACATTCCCCAGTGTGAAAGTATCTCCCAAGACTAGTAAGAAGGACATCAGACCCTTGCCCTAGGGGAAAAGAAGAATTTATAGTTGAACCAGTGATTTCACTTAGTGGCAATGTGCCTGCCTCACAAACACAAGGTCCTGAGTTCAATCCCTGGTACTATATATGGTCAAATAAATTTCCAAACTATTGGATGAATCAAAATTATGTTTGTATGCCTGGGATTTAGCTCAGTGGTTCCGCTGCCTGCCTCACAAGCATACAACTGCCTCACAAGCATAAGGACCTGAGTTCAATCCCCGGTACCAAAAAAAAAAAAAAAAAATTATGTGTTCTTTGAAACTATTTACAGTCTTTAGCATTCATCTTGAATCTCTAAGAAGGGAATCTACATTTCCCAAGTGTTTTAAAGAAGGAAACTTTCTTCCACTGAGCAGCTCTTGGGATGAGTGTTCTATCAACAACTGAATGGAAACTAGCCTAACTCAATGGAAAAACACATAAAGTTCTTGTAGATCACTGTTTGTTAAGCAATATGTGGCACAATCAAAAGTTCTTAACAAACTTCTGTCGTTAGAAAGATCAGTATTTTTTCACAGTTTCGAAGATTATTATTTGATTGAATTTTTTTAAAGCACCATCCGTGAGATTGTTGTGCCAAGAAACACCCTTGGAAAAATGTTTACATACAGGAATGTAGTCCTACGGTGAACTAACACAAACAGAATCTAGTTTAGTATTGCCATATAATGGGCTGTTCTGTGGAAGATGTACTATGTATCAACAGGTTATCATCTAACCATGTACTGGAAGCTAAGGCAGAGCCAGTACTGCTTTCACAGTTAGGCCTTGACATTTATAACTCCCCTCAATTTTCCTTTTTTGCTAACCTCTCCGAGGCAACACTACTACAAGAAAAGCCAGGAAACTAGGGCTGTATAGGCACATTCTGCATTACTAGAAGCACTGAGAAACTGTCACAACTCTACTACCATTCTCCCTTTTTTCTTTTTCTTTTTTCCTTTTTTGCTAACCTCTCCGAGGCAACACTACTACAAGAAAAGCCAGGAAACTAGGGCTGTATAGGCACATTCTGCATTACTAGAAGCACTGAGAAACTGTCACAACTCTACTACCATTCTCCCTTTTTTCTTTCTTTTTTCTTTTTTGTATCTCTTCCAGGGGATACCTGCCAATTCAAGTTATATCTCTCACGTTGTTTATTAGTCTTTTCCCTCACTATAAACAAATACTGTAAGTTCGTTTTTAAAATTTTTATTAGTACATGTTTGTTGTACATGATTACATTCCCTGAGGGAATTGGTACATGTGCATAATACATTTAAATTCCCTTCTTCCCCCCTCATTCCACCACCCTTTTTTTCCACCATCAGATTCATTTATTTTCTTATAAGACCATATAAAGTTAATTAACATATAGATTGAAAACCAGACTAATAGGCCAAAGAATATATAAAGTATGTAACACAACTGTACTGTCAAGATACATTTGTAGATACATTATAATCCACTGCAGACAAAGTATGTAAATTGCCTTTTAATCAATGCCATCATTCCTTCTTTTTGGGAGACTATCTCTACCATCCCCTCCGCCTAAAATCAGTTTCCTTTGCCCAGGTAATTTAATAGCTCATGCATCCTTTCCCCGCATACATTCTCATTTCTCTATCTTTCGTATTTGTCTCAAGCTGAACCTCATGTCCCAGAATCAAAAGTTCCTTCACTCTTGAAATCTATGACATGGGAAGATCTCACGTTTGATTCAAACAAAAAGCTTCGTTAAAGAGGAATGGAGAGTCACAGATCTTTGTTTACATGTAATTTTTTAAGGAAATTAACGAAAAGAACTTGAGTCCATCCAGACTAAAGTATAAGGGAATTACTAAACTTCCTTACCAGACTACAGTTCAGGGCCCTAACTCTGGGACACTATGGGAAAAGGATGCTTATATTTGCGGATCGAGCAGTCAGGGCACAGAACGCCAGCCACAGTTCGCTCCACGCTCATAGGCCAACAGTACAGGGAAGTCTCGCCTTGGGCCTTCGTTCCCTCCTAGGAGCAGGGCATGCCCCAGAGCCCTGGGCCTCAGTGGCAAGATCCAAAGGCGGACGGGGCGGTACCTGGTCATAAGGGGACTTCTCCAGCATCTGCGTGCACAGATCGGCGCAGAGCTGGAACTTCCTGCGCCTAAAATAGCTCCAGGCCAGGAGCAGCGGCTCCATCTCCGAGCCCATCGCGGCCCAAGGCTTCCGGCGAAGAAACAAGATCCCACCCTGAGAAGACAGTGGGCGGGGATGGGAGCTGGCGGCGTCAGGCTCTCCCAGGCAACGCTCGGCGGCTGGGCCTCGCCGGAGGGGTGCCCGCAGCGCGCCTGAGAACAGGAAAATTAAAAGAAAAGAAAAACCCTCCACGAGTGGAACTCAACTTTAGAGTTTGCCCAAAATTGGCTGCAAAAATGTTTGTACTTTTAAAGAATGTAGATTTCATTAATTTCGAAAAGACACCATCGCTAAAAAAGAGGTAGTGACTTAGACGCCAGCCTGGGGTCCTTCACCATCTCGGCGGGCCTGGTTGCCTAGCAGCAACCCGCTCTGCTCTCCCGGATTGTGGGTGACTAGAAAGTCAGCGTGTCTCTCGCACTCCTCTCCTTTGTTCATTCCTACCTTTATTGCCCTTCTGACTCTTGAAACACAAACATGGAAACACTTTCCCCAGTACTCTCCAGCCTTTCAAAACCAAAGCCTTAAATGCTGAAGCTCCAATCTGAATCTCCGAATCTCGGAATCGCAGTGGGTTTTAGAGATTGTTTGGCCCAATCAACTCATTTTACTAGTGAGAAACAGGCTCAGAGAAGACAAAATCTTTACCCAAAGTCCTACGGAGTTAGAGAGTGGGACCGTAATCTGGGTGACCATGAGTAAGGGGTTCAGGCATTTTCCCCAAAGTAGATGCAAGTATGCAGAAAATTAAAAAGGAGCTTTTGAAACCCAGCTCGCTGCCACCCTGCTAGGAAAGAACTCTTAACTTCTGAACTACACCCAGACCTTGAGTTATTTTGAGTTATTTCTTCAAGTACCGGTCTGACTTCACAGTAAAGATTTACAAAGTAGCAAATATTAAATGCCAGTGGTTGTGAAGACAGAAATGTGACCGGGATAATTCCAGTTAGGCCTCATGGTAAGCAGGGGATCTTTTTACCCTCCCTCCTTTCCTCCACAGTGTGAGGGACAGGAGAGGAAAAAAAGCCCAATATTGCAGAACTGTCTGGTCAAATATAAATCTTCTTTATGTATAACAAATGAACTGGCAACACCCTTGGAAAAAGAGAAATCATTTGCAGTTTTCTCAAACAACTAATGAACCACAGTGAAGACATTATATTTAATCAATACATTATATTTAATCTATAAATTTTATAGATGTCAAAATGAAATTTGAGTTCCTAAACTAAGAAATTGATTGTAAATTTTCCTTTATCAAACAATCCTTTTAGGAATTTTAAAATATTGAAAGTGAATAATTATCAAGATATTGATTACTACAGTTATCTTTATTATTATTAGTCCGCTGTGTTTCCCTGGAAGTGACTCTTAAAAATATAGTCTATCAAAAGGTCCTAATGCAGTTTTTTGTGAAGGTCAGGTTTTTGAGAATGTATAGGCTGGCAGTTGACAGTTGGGCTCAAGGCTTTTTATTTTCTGAAACAGTGTAAGCAAATTCCTATGAGATTCTCCAACCTGGCTCCAAATTAGACTGATTAAATAAACTTTGTATTTTAGAAAAATTTGAGATTTACAAAGAAGTTGTAGAGATAGTGCTACATTCTCATGTACTCCTCTCCCCATGTCCCCTATTGTTAACATCTTATATTGCTAGCATATTTTTCATTACTAAGGGACAGCACTATTTTTTTTTTCTTGTACCGGGGATCAAACTTGGATCCTTGCACTTGTGAGGCAGGCGGCAGAAATCCCCTGCCCCCAGCACTATTAATAGTATGTTACTATTAACCAAATGCTATAGTTTATTTGAATTTTAGTGTTTTTCTTCTAAGATCATTGTTTCTCTTCCAGGATTTCATTTAGGGTACCACATTGCATTTTAGTCATCATATCTCCTTTGCCTCCTCTACTCCCTGACAGTTTTTCAGAAGTTGCTTTTTTAATGGCCTTGTGAGTTTTGAAGAGAGCTTAGGATGGAGTGTCAACTTGATTGGCATCCTCCTGGGGGATTGATGAAGCACATTTCTGGTTGTGTCTGGGTGGGCCATGGGGCCATGGATTTAGGCTCTGTATCTGGTCCCTCTCTCTTTCTTCTATGGCACTATTCCATGTTATGCTGATTTTACCAGCTTATATAATGCAAGTGTTGTTGTGTAAGGGAGTCTTCCATCTAGATTTCAAAGGAAGGCCTGGGAATTCAGGCAAGGAACCCCTAAGAGGGTAGAGCATAAAGCTGTAGGTGTGAAGACAAAAGTGCAGTGGAAATCTCAGGAAGTTAGAGATGCCAGCAACACAAAATGTCTGACAAGGAAAGCTACAGTTCGTAAGCAGAATCAGCTTGTATGACTGACAACTAGCAAGGCCATAGGAATGGGGCTATCCAAGCCCTCTGGAATTTATATCTCACAGCCACATGTTTTGAATTCCAGAGATGGAGCTATAAGATTTAATGTTTAAACTGCTGGGTTTCAGCCTTGCTTTGGTCTTGTTCTTTTCTATCTCCGTATTCCTCCCTTTTGGAATGGGAATGCTTACCCTGTGCAATTATACCTTGGGACTGTATAACGTAAGTTTTGAGTTTTACCAGCATTCGCAGCTAACAGTTTGCCTTGAGTCTCTGAAGAGACTTGGACTTTAACTTTTGAAAAATACTAGAACTATTCAGAGTTTGGGAATTGGGTTGTTGAATTTCCAATTGTATTGTTAAGGAGAATTATTAACTTGTTACGGTCTTTATTTGGAAATTAAGTATGGTTTAAGGAGATGTGTTTCCTTAGCAGTTGACAAGGGAGTAAGGGAGTGTATAGTAGCAATTAGGGTGGAATGTCAGTTTGATTGACTTTGGGATCCCCTCAGAGGAGCACAGTTTTTAGTATATTTTGGTTGACCAAGGAAGCATGGCCTTAGAGTCTATAGTTGGCCTGCCCCTTTATCTCTGGCACTATTCCTTTGCTCTGCTTCTCAGCTGCCATAAACTAAGCATCTTTGCTTCTCCAAACTCTTCTGCCATGGTATTTTGGCTTGGAGCCAACTAACCATGGAATAAATCCTCTGAAACTGTGAGCTAAATCAAACCTCTCCTTCTTTAAGTTGTGGGTATTGGATACTATGTTTCAGCAATGAGAAAACTGACTAGCATAGATTGTCAGGTATTTTACAGAATATTGGGAAAAGTAAAAGGGATCAAAATGTGACTTGTATATGCATCACTTCCTCATGATTAATGCATTTATTATTTATCACAAATATATACTAACAAAAAAGGTAAAAATACAGATGCCTAAATTCCATTCCCTAGATCTGCTGATTTAAATGATTTGAGGTAGGGATAGGATAAAAGTATTTTTTTCTTAAGTTTTCCAGGTGATTCAACTGTGCAGCCAAACCACCTAAGGTGATGCATACCTATAATCTTGGTATTTAAGAAACTGAAGCAGGAGGATCAATGGTGCCCAGGTGTTTAGGGCTAGTTTGCGCAAAATAGCAAGGCTCCATCTCAAAAACAAAAACAAAACAGAAAGCAAACAAAATTTTCAAAACATGAATGTGCAGCCAGAATGGAGTAATCATTATGTTGAGTTCTAAATAGAGCTGTATATAATGAAACTATTGCCAGTTTTCTAGAGAGAAATAACAGTTTTATAAGTAGGAAAATAAAGAAGCAAATAATTAAACATGGAACAAAAAGTCATTAAAATGCATTAGTAGCATACAATTCATACCACCTTCTCTTGGAGAACTAATAAGATAGTTTCTTCTTTCACAAAAGTCAATTAAAAGCCAGGTGATGCAATATGCCTGTAATCCCAGCACTCTGGAAGGCTGAAGCAGAAGGAACACAAGTTCAAGCCCAGTCCTGGGAAGTTTAGCAATTTGTCACAAAATGAAATTGTATTAAAGGTGCAGAGAGCAGAGACCACCTGGGCAGGCTTTGTGCTATATCAATGAGGCTGTTTATTTCACCCAGGAGCCAGCAGGCTGAGTCAGGAAAGAGAGTCTGCCCTGAACAAAGGGAGAGCAAAGATTTCTAAGGGACAGAAGTTGTCAGGCACAATAGTTGCCAAGAATTGGTCTGAAGAGTCAGTGCAAAGAAAAATCTGAGGGCAGAGATAGTGTGGCCACTTCTTGGACCAGCAGCGGTACAGATGTTTCCTGGAACTTAGGACGGTATAGCTGTGCTTGGACTTTGTGGAATCAAGGGGTTGGGACATGGTGCTCTGCAACAGCCTTACCTGCAGGATACAACAAAAATATTTCAAAAGGGGAGTTTGGAATGTACCTCAGTGGGAGGGCTCTAGATTTAGTCACCAAAAATAATTTTTTAAAAAGTCAAGTAGATGAGGGAAATTGTGTAATATTAATCAAATAGCAAGATGTTACCATTTCTAAATGCAGCATAAAATATGCCTCTATAAGATTGTAACCATTTATTTTTATATCATATAAATGTGTTTATGGTTAACTAATTTTATGAATTTATAGATAGACATCGTTACATTTTTATAATGCCTAACCAATAAATCAGAAACTATTATTTTTTAAGTGTTAACAATAAGAATAATAAATATAATAAATCTTGGTAAAAAGATAAAAAAAGGGAAAGATAGGACTGGTCTGCTGCAAGAGAAAATGAAGCACAGAGACATAATTTAATACCTTCAGAAGAGTCAATTTCCCAATCAGTGCTAGATCTCAACTCATTGATCTTATCTTTTGCTCTTTAGCAACTAGATATCTCAACTTAATTCAATTTAAATACAAACACTTAAGATAATATAACTTTAAACACCAAAGGCTAAATTTTCTTGAACATTAAACTGGAATTATTCAAGGCACTTAACCCAAAAGTAAAACAAAGGGAAATGTTCTTTTATCCAACAAGTACTTCCCCAGACTCCTTGCTTGGTAACAACACAGAAATGAAGAATACAGATCTCCTGCCACAAGGACACTTAAACATGGAGTTGTTATTGGCAAGAGTACTGGCCTTGAGGTCAGACTTATCAGCTGAACTTTTTCAAGCGAATTAGGAATGGTGAACAAAATTCCGGTACTACTGGATACATTTTTCATAAGATCTCAAATAAACTGCTTTTATATGCTTCCCTGA